GTACAATATCTTATGACTCCACTTCTTTCCCTAAAATGCGCTTCATCGTCATACGCAATTCGTGATTTATTCTTGGATTTCCAACTCTTATGCAAATTTAAAAAATGGACTAAATCTCTTGCTAAGGCTTTTAAAAACTGTATTCTAGAAATAACTTGGTTTTTGGAGTAACTTTGACATAACATACATGAGTTTACTGTGCTCAAATCTAATAATCTATAAAAAACAGACATGGGCCAGCCCGTTGTTCATCTGTTGCAGGAATATACAAGTTGAAGTTCAGTAGATGACCACTTGGAGCAGTTTCTCTCATAATATTTTGTAGATGAAATAGCTTCAGTGCATTCATTGTCAGATTCAGAAAACTCTGATGTCGTGGAATGCACACTTTCATTTGCAAAATATTCTTGGCATTCATTCTCATTGCTAAATTCACTTCCTATTTCATAAAGAAATCTTTGCAGCTCTTCTGCATAATGCAAATCAGAAGGATGTATGATATTTTTTGGACCGAGTTTCAGAGCCATGTTTCCACCTGGGACAGAAATCGTAACACTGAGAAAGAGGTGCGGTCTGACATATCGCTCTCAGACAAATGACTAAAATTTCACAATGAAGCAGGTGCAAAAAATGTTAGCCAATGGGTGAGAATTATCAAGGTCCCAAAAGGAGAAGCTAGCAGGAGAATGCACTCAATCAGACTAAATATAGAATAGGGATGATAGGAACAACACCTGTAGCGGTAACTGAGACCGCACCTACCCAGTTATGGGTTAAAAATGTCATAAAAATTATATGCAAGATTATAAACCGATTTTAACTATAGATCATAGTTTTGTACTAAACCTGATGCACAAGCCATGTTATTAATGAGAAAGCTTTAATTCTGGATGTGCTTTGAAAACTGACACCAGCAGAGAAATAGTATCTGTAATACATGACATGCATGTGCTGTAGTTGATGAATTTAAATATGTAACTAAAGTTATTTTTGATGGTATGCTGTAGGACATTCTTTTGTGGGTGGGAAAAAACATAAATGCTGTCATTTACTTTTGCAATACCAAAGATGGTAAAATACGTGCTTAACATTATTTCCCAGCAAAATGGAGATTCTCTACAGTGGTGATCATTAATCAGGCTTTTTTTGGAATTTCCAAGTGAAATTGACTAAAACAGTTCCTCTGCCCAGCCTTCTCATTCATCAAATTTAACTCTATTGGACTTTATCTGTGTGGATATGTGGAAGATCTTGCATACCAGATACCTGTAACCAACTCATAAGAACTACCGATACTCATACCACTACCGATATTGGTTCAGTAACTTCTCAAATGTTAAGCATTTGTGGTACTCAGTTTTCATGCCCAGTGTGTCTTAAAACACTTACTGTAAAACTGTTTTAGCATGAATTCAGTTGCATATTACTGTATTTGACGGCATATAAGACGCACTTTTTTCCCTAAATTTGGTCTAAAAAAAAAAAAAAAAAAAAAAAACAACCTGCGTCTTATACGTGAAAGACACAAGTTAACTTTCAATACTGAATGCTATTTTTAGCCAGGATAAAGGTCTAGACACACATAACTTTTTCTACATCTGCCATAATTATTTTGCGCATGCGTGAAATATCTGTCACCAAGCACCAAAGCTCGAAGCTGATGTCGAAGTTCAAACAGGTTCGACGGTCACATTACGTCTATCGAGCCTTTCCTTCTTTACATAGACTTTCTTTGACTCAGCCAACACAAGTGTCAGTATCGGTGCTACTCTGTATAAACGTGTCGGTATTGGTACTTAAAACTATTTGTTTTAAAAAAATATCCTGGAAAATATAACTACAGGAAACAAGAGATTAAGCAATACAATTCAGTATAAACTAGGAGTGTTAAACTATGCCAAAGTGCATGGAAACAGAGCAGCAGCAATTCATTTCGGTCCGCCACCTACAGAAAAAATGATACGAACTTGGCGACTGCAGGAAGATTAACTGAAAACTGCTAAAAAAACAAAAACATAACCTTCGATACCCAGCTCCATCTTGGCCTGAACTTGAAAATGCCGTAAAAATGTGAGTGATAGATAAGAGGAAATCTGGGATAAGTGTTTCAACCAAAACTGATGGGCTGGTGCTACAGGTTCATGAAAAGGCAAGGCTTATCAATGCGCACAAAAACAACTATTGCACAGAAAATGCCAGCAGATTATGAAGACAAAATACTAGCATTTCATAGGTTTGTTATAAATGCATGCAAGAAAACTTCTTTTGAGCTCGGTCAAATAGGAAATATGGATGAAATTCCACTCACATTTGATGTACCATCCAACAAGACTGTGAGTATTAAAGGGTCTAAATCAATAACCATAAAAAACCACAGGTCATGAAAAAACCCGATATACGGTAGTTCTAACATGTTGTGCCGATGGCACAAAACTACCGCCGTTTTTCATATTCAAAAGAAAAACTTCCAACGGGTGTAATTGTTCATGTTCATCTGAAAAGCTGCAATGAAACTGTGGTTACAGAACATATGGGCGAGGTGACCTGGTGGACTCTTAAGAAAACCCTCTCTTCTGGTTTTGGATCAGTTTAGCGCTCATAGAATTGAAACCATAGAGAATAAAGTGAGAGAATTAAAAACCCAGATAGCTGTCATTTCTGGTGGACTGACTAGCCAATTGCAGCCTTTTAATGTATAGGTGAATAAGCCATTAAGTAAGGAAAAAGTGCAAGAACGATGGAACAAATGGATGTAACAAGGAGAGCCACATCATGACCTCACATCCTCAGGTAGAATGAAGCGGCCCTCTATTTCACAAATGTGCGAGTGGGTAAAAAGATCTTGGGAGGACATAAAAGCTGAAGTAATTGTTAAGTCCTTTCAGAAGTGTGGAATCAGTAATGCTCTTGACGGAACAGAAGACGATGCATTATTCAAAGAAGGCGATACTAGCGATGACAGAAACAGTAGTGATGACGATATTCTCATTTTCGATGATGATGATGATAGTGAAAAGGATTTTTATGGTTTTGAAAGCGATTAAAGTCTAATTTCATGATAGGCAACGTTTTCCTTGAATCTGTGTTTTTTGTTGTTTCTGCTTTATTTTGTATTATGTTTGATTGCTTGCCGTTCATTCATTTATTCATTAATGAAATTTAAATATCATGTTTAAAATAGCTTGCCATTTGTTAATTTTCCTTAATAAAAATATGTTTGGTAATTGCATTCAACGATTGTTTATTTGGCTTTTACGAAATGTGAGAACTAAAAGAAACCACATTTTAAGTTATTGTGGTATCGCGCTGTCGCGTGGACTATTGAAACTTTTTTTCCTTGTGTGTGGCTTTTTAAATAAGGATGCGTCTTATATGCCGTCAAATACGGTAAGTGTTTTAGAGTACCACTCAGAACATAGTAAAAGTAACTAAATGGTTTTACGTATAAATTTATTAATTTATAGTACTGGCTGGCAAGAAATTAAACACATTTTATTTCTTTTACAGCTCTGCTTTCCCATCATTTTCCTATGTGTTGATACCCTATATCAGTGGTTCTCACTTTAATGAAATTTAAAGTAATACTGAAAATAAAGTAGTTAAACTGAAATTAATAAGCTTGAGGAACAACATATTTGATCAGCGATTTTGCCATTCAAAGAACTTTCAGTTCATTACTTCAGGCTTTACTTTATCCATGTTTCATATAATAAATAAAGCGAGAAGTACGACAGCTAACTTTTGGGAAATAATAAAATTCAGCCATATAATTTATTTCAACAGTTACGAATTACATTCCATGACACCTGAGTAGTTAAATCTAATATCAATCACACGTGTTATATTTATTTTGCACCTCATAACTTCAACTCCATTTTAATATAAACAATATCAAATAATTAGTAATGCGCACTGCAAATAATTAACTACATTTAATTTTGGGAATTCATCAGGAACCCTTGCCAAAAGTGCTTAAGAAAGCAGCATATAATTTAAAAAAATTAAATAGACAATATTTTCTCATAACAATTAAATGAAGAATGCATTACAAAACAAGAAATGAAAGAAAAAGGGACTTTGATTAATCCATTTTCTAAAAAAATGTGCTTATAAAGAATTACATTGAGAATATGCTAAAATAAACAGAAAAATGCCATAATATGCAGTTTTTTATGCTTAAAGTAAAGAAAGGTCACTTTAACTCCTGAGTCACATGACTGCCTTGATCCAGTCATGAGATTTTTTTCTCTCTTGACTTAGATTATAATTTAAAATATTTTGCTTTCTTTCTTTAATAATGTAAATATCATCCTAATGAATAGAAGTTTATGAAAACAAAGACTAAAATAAGTAATTATAAAAATTTAGATAATAGAACTTGTTTAAATACAAGTCTTCATGAGCAAATCCAAAAAGCTTTGTCACTCAGAGGTTTACAAAAGATGCCTATTAAAAGGATTTTGCAATGAAAGCTAACATGCACTCATGTTATGAAGGAGAAAACCTATGAAATTCTTCTACTATATATCTACTCAGCTGCTGGAAACTGAATCAGGAAATAGTTACCAACATTCAGTTTACCTTATCACCTTAGCTGTAGTTGCATATCAGAAAAATATCAAAAATTAAAATCATAAAATAAAAAACTGAAAAAAAAAAAAAAAAAAAAAAAAACCTTAACAGGCCATATTACCATTGAAAATGACTAACCTACTAAGAATTATTTCAGATTATATTTCAGTACCGTTAACATGATAAAATACTAAGGTCAAAATCTTAAGTAAAACTATTCGAGAAAACTGATGACCTTGTTTGATGGGAATTTTTCTAACTAAAATTCAGTTTACTCTGTTCTATACATAGTAAATTAATTTAAAATTAGCATTCATACAACAAATTTTGAACTATCTTGTAACTGCAACTATTACCTGGGAAACAGTCAAGGATAGCAGATAATGCTGTTTGTGAAAGAAAGAAGGGGGGAAAAAAAGAGGCAGATAAACTTATGATCTCATTTTAATACAATATATAAACAAGTTATATGAACAAAGTTCAAATTCAATAAACTAGTTACACACAACAAATAAATTTTTGCAATGTAATGCACTGGAATGTTAAACAAATGCATATTCATATCTTAAATGTATTTAACAAAATGCCAAATAACAATTTGTTGCACCTAATTTGAAATGCTTTGTTAGAAGAAATTCACTAAATATGACAAAAGGTGTGAATTTTTTTTTACACCACTTAAATTGGGGCATATTGAAAAGGCACATAAGATGAAAACAAACACTAATGGAAAGAACCCATATAATTCAATATCATACTGCTTTTTACATACAAAAGTAGACAATTTTAACTGGCAATAAGGCCAGATATGGGAAAATGAAATGTAAATTCATATGGGAAAATGACAGTGAAAATAAAATTCTAATAAAAAATATATTAACAAACATGTTAAGAGGAAAATTAGTAATATTAAGTATTTTACGACCATTTTTGATTTAAGTTGTACTACACATTAGTATTATATAAAATCTCTTTAATAATATATTATGAGGATATATTGATTTAACAATTAGTAGTAAAAATAATTTATGAACCGTGTTTTCAACAGTATATTCACATAATAAAATTCATAATATTTTTCGATAGAACGATATTTCGCATAAAAATCTGTCAACACTTTAAACAAGCTGATAAAATCATACCTTGTAGAAATTGTATACAAGTTCTTAAGGATGTTAAACATGGTAAAAACATTGATGTAAAAATTTATAAAAACATCATTAATATGGAATGGAAAGCAGGAATGTTGATATTCAATTATATTCTAAAATCAGATCTTTAAAAGTCTCATGATATAAATTAATTACAGGCAAAATGCCATGGATGGCAATACATCTGCACTTTTAGACTGCCAGGCTGAGCCAGCAGCTGGCAAAATGACAAGATACTGGATGGACATTAAGTTATTGTTTTACTCGGATGGTTCTTTGCTTGTTCATATTGCTGAGCATTAGGCTTATGTATGATGTTAGCAAATCATCCATTTTATATCCCTAGAATAATAAGGAAAAATAAGTTAAATGCAAAATACAGAATTTATGAAACAGAGATAAAAAAATCTCATTCCAAGTCAGGATAATACACACCAATGGAGTTTCACATAGCAGTTTATTTCCTCGCACTAAATTTCCTATTGTCATGTGGAAGTATGTGTTGCCGCTACTCCAGTTTGATATACGAGTAAAAGGATGAGTGACTAGGATATCCTAAAAATAAAAAATTGAAACAGAATGCAATGATATGACTTCCTGCAACATGAAAAAATTAAATAAATTCTTAGTTGACATACCCAAATGAAGACAAGCACAGTGAGAAAATTATTAAATAAATAGGAATATTCTTAATAACACAATTTACATAGTGACTTAAAAAATTCCTTTGAATTATAAACTCCACAAAAGAAAGGCACTCTTTCCAGGTCTTGAAAAGTGAATACAAGGCCTCTGATAACAACAAAAAAATGCTTGTGTTCTGAACAATCACATTCTGCATTTTCCCTAGAATTCCAAACTGTGGCTTAGTTTTGAAATGACTGTTTAGGTTTGCATGATTCTTAAAAAATAATGATTTAAATACACAATGGTAAATTATTTTTCAAGATCACTCAAAATAATAGATCCAGATAGCTCAAAAATTCTTGAAAATATTGCAAGTAATTTTCAGAAGACAGACCAGCAAGTAATAGAATTACAACTGTCATAATTAAAAAGCTAAAAATACATTCAAAAAACATATCTACTACAGTCAAAAGTCTTTAATCCGGACTTGTCAGGGCTTCGGTAATTCCGGATTATCGGTTTTTCCAGATTATAGATCATCAATTGAAATATGGTAAGATGACATGCAGAAATTATAAAATTAAAAATCTGAAAACCTAATTTATGAAATAAAGAGCAATTATGATCTAAAGGGTATCAAAATTTACAAAAAAAAGCTTAATATTTATTTGTTTACTTTATTAAACATTTCTTTCGACACGCGCATGCATAAAGCATACATTACGCATAGTGAAAATTAGAAAATTGCAACCAGAAAACTATTTGATGTATATTCGTGATATTTATAATGACGAGGAATTTGATTTAAATCATATCAAAGACGGAGTACATTGAGATGAAATACTACATTTAGTAAGGAATTATAAGCCAAATAAAATAAAAACATCTGTCCTGAAGATAAGGATAGTGCTGACAGATGAACTTCCAGTTCATTGCGTGCCGCGACGTCCCCCCCCCCAGAGCAGCGTGAAATTGATAAACAGATTTCAGAATGGTTAGATAAACAAAGGATATGCCTTTATCCATTTTTTGCAGCAATTCCACTTTTTGTACATAATCGAAAGTTCAAGCTTACTTTTATAAAATTGCTCTAACAGTCTGCAAAAAATAATAAGCCGGATCCAATTCGAAGATTAAGGAACAACGCAATCTGCAATATTAACTGAAATAGATAATCAGATAATTTTAGCTTAGCTTACACTGTCCGTTATACATTAAACGCACATGCGTATGCGTAAACGTATTATGCGCATGCATAAACGCATTATGTGTTTACGCATGTGCAGAAAGTTTGAGGTCCAGATTATGGACATCCGGATTGAAAACTTTTGACTGTACTAATGTACAAATGAAGCAAATACTCCAAGAAGGCATTTTCAATATCTTGCTCATGAAAGTTCAAATAAATATATGCCAAGCCTCTGAATGTGACATCTCTGGATCTAGCATTTATTTTAAAGGGATTTTCTACAATGCAACTTGTAAGTTGTGTGCATGCTAACAAATTTGTTCCAAGCATTTACATAATCCATAATAATAATGCTCCATTCAAAATTAATTTGCTGCAATTTTCCAGATACTTAAAACTCAGTTACTGATTTCTGAACTGCCTTATTTACTTAAAATCATAAAGTAAACTGGCTCACATTATGCATTGAAAAAATCATGAAAAACAAACATGCAAGCAACTCCTTTGAACCCAAGTAGAACTCAAAGTTTTCACTGGTCTTAACCATACCACAGGTGGTAGGGCCTAGGCCTCAGGATAAATGTTTGTGAAGCGCTTTCCAAGACAAACCGAGTTCGTTTATAACACAGAAGATGAAAAATCATCTAAAATTCGAGTAGCTCACCCATGCTGTTGCAGGAATTAAGTCTTGGATAAAGTACTGCAGCAAGTGAATTTGAACATTAGGCAGCAGATCAAACTTGCTACCATGGTTTTAAGGATGAAAGGAAAGTAAATTAGACCGCAATGAAATGCTGTACATTATTAACTCAAATTTACTGCTTCATGATGAAAAGTAAATTCAACAATTTATTATGCGAATACTGAGCAACTATTATGCAAATACACTTTGACAAACTAAATTGCCTTATAAAATACTAATACCTTTTAACTAATGATTAGATTTCCACAAAACAGTAGCAGAGGTGAAGTGTAAACATGAAATATAATACTGTACTTGTATTTACCGGTGATACATTCCATTACTATCTGCAATTATGTAATACTGAGGAAAAGTACATTATGTGTGATGCTATATTTTATAATATATGCAGCATATAAATAATGAAATTAAACAGATAAACTGTAAAAATGAAGTCATTACCAGCTTTTAGTAAAGTAATAAAATATACTAAATGCTACAGGTTGCATTTACTCTGCACTTTCTATCCAGTACACTTGAGATCGAAGGGTACTTGCTTGCATACCTGTACAGGAAGTTTTGATGCTTTAGCATTTGTGTTGAGGCTAAAGCAATAAAGTATACCTGTACTGCACAGTACCACATCTAGAAGGAATACTAGAAGAATGAAAAAGTTATAGTTCCCACCCAAGCCTTGCAAAAACACAAAGCATTGGTCCAAATCATGTATGCATATTAGTGTTGAATAAAATATATTTTCAAGGCAATTCAAATTAAGTGTGTTTTAGCTGATGCATCTCATCCTGTTACAGCCTGCTCATTACAACCATTCTGCATATTTTACAACCTATGAACCATATTTTTTTAACTCTGAAATTATGTTATTTTAGAAAAAGAAGTTTCCAAAATTAATTCTAAAACAATCTAAAATTTTAGGACAAAAAGAAGTAATGAAATTTAATGGAACAGAAACCAATTTTAGTACAGATTATAAATACCATATTTTAGCTCTCTAATTACTTCAAAATTACACAATTCTACATGTCATCTCAGACGTTTCCAGGGGTTAAATTAGCATGACAGTGAAAAATTTTAAATTTTACTTTGGAAACAAAAGAGAACATAAGCTCATCTATTTATAGTATCAAATAATTGTCTCAAGAGGTTAAAAAATTTCACTTTCTATCATTCCAAGGAACCATAACAAACACTTGCTCTGTGAGAAGTGTAACAACATAGGACATAGTGGTAAAGTTACCCATAAACCAAATATTTAGATTTATAAACGGCATACTTTCCCCATGGAATTACTTTATTAAGAAAATATAATCAAAACTTACAAAAAAAAAAAAAAAAAAAAAAAAAAAAAAAGACTATAATTTTGCATTGCATAAACAGCCTAAGAGCAGATGACTAAAACTTTCCTTTATTCTAATTCATTTGGAATAATTTCATATATGCTTGTTAAAAATATGTTCTTTCATATTTGTTTACAAACATTTAGCACAATTCATAAGAAAACTAAGCAAAACTATGATTACAACAAGTTAAGGTAAAAAGAGAACTGAGCACTGGAATGATGACCTCCTACCCTTCCACAATATGTATAGTTTCAAAATAATGTAATGATTATTCATAATATTGAATAAAATACAAAACATACCTTTGATGATGGATCTATTAAACTAACCCCATGCTTATTGATAGCTATAAGTAACTGTTCTGGGAAACTGGGATCTGTTGTTTGCTGCAAGAAAATAAAATAGCCATTTAATAAAATTAATTGACTATAATACAGTTATTAAACAAACAAATAGCTGAATTTACAACTGGGAGGAAAGACTAAAAATTTTGCTGATCTCAGGAAAATAATTCAGCAGTTTTAAGTATGTTAAAATCCCTTCAGCAATCACCAACACTCAGTGCAAGTCGTAAACGTAAAATTTGCAGCACTCGAACAAATCTTTAATTTCTTTAAGAATGAAACTAGATCATCTATCCAATGGCATACCAATACCATAAATGGAAATGACTAGTACTTCCAAAAATGAACTAGTACCATCTATTGCAGAAATGCAGCACGACAATCCAATACATATATTGATTATTAGAGAAATAGTTAATAGAAAAATAATTTCAGTAGTCAAAATCTGAAAGAGTTACAATATGTTTGATTCATATGTTGTTACGAATGCAAGAATTCAGAAAATTTTGATATTACAGCAATGCAGTCACAGTAAAAAAAAATATGCTGCTATTAATAGTCATTAGTAAATCCCAATCTTTCTTGCAACATCTTGATAAGAACCTTTTCAGCTATATTGATTTCTTCACATAAGACTTCAAACTGAACTGTTTCCTCTCTCCCTTTGTATTTTTGTAAAATCTCATTATCCAAGCAGTAATCTTCAAAATTTTTTAATATTCTGAGAAATATAAAAATCGATTGCTTATATTCTCATTTAGTATGATATTTGTTGCACTTATTGCAACAGTTTTTCTTCTCCTGAAGAGTTTCCTTGGGGTTAATTATATTTTCTTTAGGCCAACAGATTTGAGGCTCTTTACATCAAGATGGCCCTTCCCACAATTTTCTCTTAAGCCCTGTTCACATGCAACGGTCTTTCGCACAGCCAACATTTGTATTAGCATTTAGGAAGAAATGCGATATGAAACAGTTTCACCTTCAGGACCGGTTCAGATGCACATCATCTTCCATCCCTTAACCCATAAGCCACTGTGAGCAAAGATGTCACAACACGAATTTGATTGCCGGATTTCAAATGTTTGTTTACATCTTTTTTGACATTGTTTACTCTTGCTATAGAACACTATTAGAGCCTTTGAACTTTCTTTGATATAAGGAATAATTAAAACAATAAATGTTCAACGCTATAGAATAAAAAAATTAAAGCTCAGTGGAACTGTTAAAATTATGCCCTATAGGCATAATGAAATTTTAATTTTACATAATTGTTGAAAATCTGCTTGATAATGTACTATTTAAGGAGGAAACTTTCAGCATATTAGAATATATTTGGTTTAATTAAAAATAATTTTATTTTATTGTAAGACTGTTCGTATTGCAATGTCCAACTACGTAAGTGTTTCTAATTTAAATTCAGTTCTTTTCCAAAATATATGCATAATAAACCAGAAGCTCCAAAACTGTTTTTTAGAATTATATATTTTAGTTTTAAAAATTAGAAAAAAAAAAAAAAAAAAAAAAAAAAAAAAAAGGATTATTTAATCACGTACCATTTTATACTGTTTATTGAAAATTAGTAAATGCTATATTCCAGGTATTAATAATAGAATGAATTTAAGTCATTAAAAATGTCAAATTATTTAGTATGCACACCCATAATTCAAAACGTAAATTACATTTACCTTTTTATACTACATTTACAGCCTCACTAAGGAAACGTGTTCACTTGGGTATCAAATTTAAGGTAATTTCTTAGTACAAAGAGATTTATTCTCAAATTGAAAGGAATATTGTTAGGCATAGTGTCTGAAAAACTGCAGGATGAAAGTTACACGATAATTAGTTATCTTCAATACTGTATTATATTATTCTATATTTCATTAAGCTACATAATTTAGCACATTAAGAGAAATTTCCAGATAATTTCAGGTGCTTGGTCAGCAAAAATATCTCCTGTTTGAAATCGCCATTGCACGTGAATTTTTCTATTTCCTCTATTGTCTAAACCAGTTCGTTTTAACTCTAGACTGTATTTGTAGCAGCTTTGACATCAACCATGGCAGCATATTTTATATGGTGGAATTTAAATTCTACAATATATTAGTGAGTATCTCTACTTGCAGTGATTCAAAAAAACTTCATTGTCAGGTCAAACGAATTCTATACTGACACAGTTGAATTAACTATTTTTCCCTTTTCTATCAAAAATTTGGCAGCTATTGATTTGTACGCTGCGCAAAAAAAAAAAAGTTTTTCATGTCTCGAGAGCGCGACTTAGGATATATGTTAGATTTATATATAACATTGTTCTATCATAGATGTTTTGACACAAAATCAGATGTATATAAACATTAATGCATAGGTATATAAACATATAGATATATGTATGTATATATTTCATCAAGCTCTTGAAAAAGTTTTCCTATTTCTTCTTCACTCAGCCCTCTTTTCCTTTTCGGCATATTGCTTGAAAAAATCAAAATAATTCCTAGAAAATTTATGAACATATGCAATATTCTACAGCAACGCAAGACTCTGTTTACAATTTACAAACATAGTTATCGCGAATTCTGTAGTTATGTAGCTACAAAAATGAAAAGAGAAAAATTGGGAAAAACTGGATCCTTAACACAAAGACCATTGAAAAAGATAAGTGTTTAAAACCCCAGGGGCGTCAAATTTGACATTTCAGTCTGAAAAATGGGGGAAAAGACATGGCCACAAAAGTGGACAACCCTGTCCTTTCAAACAGGGGATTCTATGGCCACTATAATGGCCATCCCGTCCTCAAAAGGTAAAACATTTATCTACATGTATGCATGAAAACTGGCCTCAAAAGGCTATCCAACTTCTTGGTACTAAATTGTATTCTTTTAAATCTAACTTTGGAAGTGTTAAATTATCTTAGGTAATTACTGATATACTTGAGTTTACACAATCTTTAGAATAATTCTTAAATTCAGTTTGAATATCTATGAATTTTATTGTTAAATTCGATTAATTCATGTAACTGATCATCAGTATTAAACAAAAGCTTAGATTTATCAACAATCTTATTGTAAAGAGAATGAGTTTACTTTTGATTTGTTTTTGTGACATCAGATCTATAAATTGATTGTAAGCCATAGTAAAAGAACAGCATAGATTACTTCTTTCTCTTTTTCACTTATCTAACACATTAACACTATCACCAACTTCCATTTTTCCAACTGGTGAGTCATCATTACGACTGAAAGCTCTGTTTAATTCCATATATAACTTATATATTCTTCGACATTTAATATTAATCTTTCATAGTTGTGTATGCCACTAATTTATTGTTAGAAGTGAGTAAATAAAATAGTATACCTTAGATAAAGGATGTATTTATTCACAATATGCACGTTCAGGGGAAAAAATAATCTTAGTCTTATGTACATTAAATATTTCGTAAACTTTAGAATCCAATTCAAAACATAACAGCCATTACGTTTTTCTGACGTTGCCAAATTCTAAACTATGAAGGCTTATAATTTTATTATTAAGACATGTGAACTTCTATTTACATCATAATTAAAATACTGATTTCCAAAATAACTAATTTACCATGGGAAAAAAAACCTATACTAAAATATTTTTCAGCAATAAAATGAATAAAAAACAAATAGAACAATATTTAACATTTTTTTTGGGGGGGGGAGCAAACCGAATCAATTATGGTTTTATAATTAAATCCTTGTCATGTCAAATAAAGGAGAAAGTAAAAAGCAAATCATGACAAGAGTAAACTATTTTCAGAGATTGCTATGCATGGTAAAATTCAACACCAAATGCTAAACATGACATATTAACAGATACATAAACTTACTTTCACTTCAAAGAAAGCAGATCCAAAGGTTGGCCACTTAAAAATAACTTTCAAAAAATTTACTTTGCTCTCTTCTGGACTCATGCCAGCATCTTGGTTATATGCTGCTACAATAGCCTGTATAGAAATTAAGAAAGTAACATTAAAAGCAACAGCATATGAAATGGATCATGCATATTTCTAACCTACATGAAAAAATTTAGGTGAACACATACCAGATTTTACTTAAAGTGCTAAAAGTGCATGCATTTTATTGCTACAAATAAATAGCTACAAAAATTATACAAATATATATATATAAAACAGGGATGGCCAAACTTTGAGACAGTAGGAGCTGCATGTTAGGATTCAGAAAATTTCGTGAACTGCAGTGCCATATTTGAACTACTTTAAAAGTAATAAAAATGTTTTCATGAAATAACCATCTGAAGTAAATAAATGAGAATTTTGCATTTATCATTTAATTATTATAGTTTCAAATACATATAAAAATAATTTTTAAGCTTTCCTGCAATATACAGATTTGGAATTACTATATGGTGCAAATTATTATTTTTTTTTTTTCAGACAGGAAGTCAAGCATTTTCTTTTGATTTCTCCCTTTCCACCTGTTTATAATTATGGACTGAATTTAATAGATGTAAACCAAAATCGAAAGAAGGTATGGTGAAGGCCTTTACGAGTACCGTAATTTCCGGAAGAAACGCCGCGGTGTTTACGTGTTTAAAACTCAAAATTTCAGCGGGTGCGGCGTTTCTACCCATGCGGCGTTTAGGTGCACTAAAAATAAAATATTTCCTATGATGGTCATTGTATATAGTTTGGATGGCCTTGTCATTGTGCATAGATTGGTGCTGTTCCCACACAAAAGACCACTCAGTTGCTTTTTGCGAATGTTAATTTGTTTACGTTCTTTCCCTTGAACGGACCTACATGCCTTATTCACCCTAAACGAGATCTCAGAACAATAACATTCTTCCCCCTTTCAAATCAACATTCTCATCAGTTTGAATAGTCTCTTTCCTCTGCCATTCGATGAATCTTCCAGGACCCATCCTCTTTCCACCCCTGCCTTTCCTGCAATTTTTTTCAAAGGCGGACATGACTCTACCTGCCTCGCAATAACGAACTCTGACATATTTCCCCTTCAGCATGAATGGATTTTTCTTGGCATTCTGCCAAATACAGATCCCATCAGTTAGGGTACAAGTACTTGTTGGATATATTTTAAATAAATTAGGGAGCGGAAAATTTTTGAAAATGTCTCTAAACGCCACAGAAGCTACACATTTCTTACCTTTATTTTTGAGTTATGGTTTCATTTCATGCATTTTTCTTAACTGGTATGTCATATATCAGGACTTAGGTTGAGTTTTTGCATCTATACGGCCCACGACGATGTCACGCACAATTTAATCTATTGCGGTGTTTACGCTGATGCGGCGTTTCTGTGTAATTTAAATTTTTTTCCCGCCATTTTTTTCGAGTGCGGCATTTACGCTGATGCGACCTTTCTTCCGGAAATTACGGTACATCGATGGAAAAAGATTTTCAATTTTAGTGAAGAGTAAGGCACTAACATGAAAAACTTATTCAATGACTTTTCTATATTTTAACTCACACAGAAAGAATAAAATACAGTGAATAAAGAAGTACTGGTGCACATAAAAATTTGAAATTTGTTTTGATAGAATAATAAAACATTTAAGATAAATGAAAAGCTTTTCTTACATGCCATATCTTAGGGCTAATAAAAAATAATTATAATATTAAATAAATATTAATTTAGATGACAGTTGCATACATACAAATATATGAAGGCCAAACTGTACTGAGTCATATAATAATTTTTTTAGAATAATGTATTGCTGTTTAAATATATATATATTTCAAAATTAAAACTACTATTTGTTACAGGTGAGTGGGCAAACAGCTTCATGCAATTTATAAGCCACAGTTTGTCCATGCCTGTTATATAATAAATACATCACACATGAAAGAAAACAGATAACTAGCAAAATATTTTATTCATTAACTTTTAACACATTTCACAGAAGAATATGAAAATATATTTAGCATATGTCTAAAGAGGCAGATAGACAAGGGGTGTCCATGAAGTAAATTTCCCTCATACATGCATATGGTAGGCCATGCCGTTGTGGAAGAGTAGTACATGTGCATACGAAGCTTATGATGTGGCAACTGTGTGCTCCAGATGACACTTCCCACTGTTCATAGCAGCATTGCTGCAGTGGCTGAGGATGAAGGCTTAGTCCATCCTTTAGAAGCTGTGAGATTCAAACTGTAATCAAGTTTTGAAATAAGCAAAACAGATCATCAGCTCTATATGGCATACGGGCTGGACATCATGATCAAGCAGATGGTGCAGCATAGATGCAGTGAATTTTCCGAGCAACTAAATGCACATGATCATAAGTGCATTGGGTGACCATTGGCTGTTACAGAGGACACTGTGGTAAGTGTAGCAGCAGATTTCCCACTCTTTGCTGCACGAAATAGTCAGGAAACATGTTTTTACTGAAAGTGTACAAAGTGAATGTTGAAGCAAATTATGCCTAAACACAAAGCAATGGGTTCACCATTGACACTTTTGCATATACCATGATGAAGGTGACAGATTTCTGAACTAGAGCATAATCAACGATGAAACATAAATTGCACACTTTACTGAAGAAAACATCAGTTCATGAATTCACATCATAGTAGATCTCTGACAAAGAGAAAATTCAAGCAGACTTTGTCAACACAGAGAGTGATATGCAAAGTATTCTGGGACAATGAATGCGGACTGTTACTGTGAAACACTGCAAAAATTGTGATTGTTTATTCAAAACAAGCAACATTCTCAGTCCGAAACCATCTTGTAAAAAAATCCCCTGGAGGAATAACAAGAAGAACAGAAACAGACTAACAGAAAGTATTCAAACCTTCATACAGTCCTGATCTCATTTCCATCTTTCCTTATACCTTAAGAAATACCTTTCAGGTGAATATTTTCAAAGTGGTGCTGAGGTACAAACTGTTATGCACTTGTTCTGGCAGCAGCTTTCTGTAACACAAGGATATAAAAACTGGTTTCATGTTATGAATATGTTTCAATTCTGATGGAATGGGTTTGGTTTGGTTTCATGAGATTACAGTAACGTGGGGAAAATCACAAAAATGACCATGCAGCCTGCCCATTCGTGGGATTCAAACCTCGAACTGAGCTATGAATGTTCAGTGATTTTACTGCTCGGTCACTGGTGGGCCCCAATTCTGATGGGAATTATGCTATAATCAATTTTTAATGAATATTCCCATGAAATAAATGTTTACTTTCTACAGCCAATCCCAGAGAAACTTACTTTCTGGCTATCCCTTGTATGTGTAAATTTAGAATCTCATGCAAGACAGTTTTGAATAAAAAGCTCAGGCAGATGGCACAAGTAATACCAATTCAAACACATGCAATCATTAATGCATTCATTATGGTAAACTACCTGATCATAAGTACAGCATAGTTGGCATGTTTATGGTGATAGTTTTTGCTTGAGGTGTCTACTATCTGGAATGCAAAAATCAAAGTAATTTTTCCTTTTATTAACAAGATTCTTGTACATTTAAGCTAATATAAAACAAGCTTTCTGCTTTTAATGCAGTAGTTGGCATTTCTCTTAAATGGAAGCTAGCTTCTCTTGTAAGTAAAGGAATTGATTATATATATTATGCAGCTAACCTAGGCCCTCACAATTTAAAGAGATCACACAAATATTTAGTCCCTATTAGTTACTTCCCAATACATCAAAAGAGGAATAAGGTGCATTTCAAAACAAGCAACAGAAAAAAAAATATATATATTTTCTTACTGTTACTTAAAAAATATAATGATCAAGATAGAGCTTTCTGATGACAGGAAGTTTCTAAGCCCAGCTCATTTAAACAGACTTTAAAAGTACATTTTACACATCAGTATGAAGAGTCTTGGAATGAGTTATCATATAACATGTACATATGATTGACAGACTATCATTGACAAATTAGTATGACGAGTTTCAGTCTACCTTTACTAACATTTCAATGTTTGTTACATTACCATTCAAAATTTCATAATACTGTAATAGCAAGTGCAAAGTGAATCTTCAGAGCATTGCAAGACATTCAATTCAAGATGTACAACTCGTTCTTGGGGAAAAAAAAACTTTGACAAGTGTTGCTTTTTTAACATCTGTAACAACATGTAATACTCCAAAAGTATTAAATGATAATGTTTAATATATGACACATGAGGCCCAAGGTGAAATATTTTAGTACAGCTGATTTAGTATTATTTGAATTAAAAATCTAAAATTTTAGAAATAAGATCACAAGAACTATGAGTCAACATTTTCCCATTCCAAGGAACTACCACACCCACACCAAAAAAGAAAAATTTCCAATACAGTCATAGAAAAATTTGACACACAATGATTACTTAGTTTATGCTAATGGAGTCCTAAATGAAATTTTAAGTTATGGTAGCACACATTGACCTGAATTGTTTTCAGAGATGAAAGCCTTAAAATAATATTAAAATCCGTTTGAACAGATTAACATTTTATGAGAATTCTGCATGCCACAACATCAAGTGTTGACATACACAGCATACTTAAGTAAATAAAAGCAATCACTTCTACAGTCGACATTAACTCAGTGGTTTTAAGAATGGAAAATGAATTACTGAAAAACAAATAATTTTCTTAAGAAATTTACATGGAAAAAAAAAATTAATGTCCGATTTCCATTCCCAATACTTTTAAAAACATTTTAAAGAGGTATTTTTGCTTTCATTTTGAATAATTATCAGCCATCACAAAAGACAATTGTTGGCGGTCATTAATGAATCAGATCTCTAATGTATCATTATTGACATTATAAAACTGGACAGTTGAAATGAAGTGTTAAGTAATCATTTAAAAAGTCATTTTATCTGGACTTCTTAACATTTTGCAACAACTATTATCTTAACAGCAAAATTTTTAATTCTGCTGGTGTATCCCTTATCTGCATAAATAATAATAATAATGTTGCGTGCTAATTTGCATACTGCAAACTAAATCATAGCTAAATAATATATAACAAGAGAAATACATTTATAAATACTACATCGCATTTAAAAATAAGTAAGAAGTTAACATGCACTCCATTAAGCTCTATTCTGCACTGAAACAAACTATGCATGTTTTTAAAGAAAGTTGAAATAAAAGTTCAAGGAATAAATTTAGACATAAATGATATTGCCATATGTAAAGGTACCACAGTTTTAATAAAATGCTGTAGTAACATAGATTACATGTCTCTTAATTATGCTCAAACAGTTAATAGAATTTTTTTTTTATTATTATTTTGATGTTTCCCTTTTTATATCATTTTTACGTTAAAGAAGGAAATGCAAAAACAAACGTGCCTTAGAAAATTTAAAACCCCTTTAAGTAGAGGATTTTAAATTTTATTCAACAGTTATGTTTTATGAGATAACAACAGTAAATACTTTCATATAAGAACAGAAACAAAATACATTTTTATTTTTTAAATTAAACTCTTACATGATGCTATACCGTAATCTGGTCTTTAGAGATCACTTTCTCTTTTGGTATGAATAGTGTGAATTAAGATAAAGAAATGAACCATAACATAAAACAATTTATTATGGTTCTATTCCTATATATATATACATATGTGTGTGTGTGTGTAAGAAAAATAATATGTAAAAGCTTAAATTAGGAGCATCATTGCTTCTGAGTTAGAATTTATTACATATATATAATTTTTTTTTTACAAAATGTAGCACTGTTTGGTCTAGGCGTGGCATACAAAACTTTTCAGAATAAGTTTGATATTGATAAGTTTAGCAGTAAGTTCAGCATATTGATAATACAATAATTGTTTCAGGAATTGTTATGTAAATAATAATAATAAAAGCACAGTAAACCCTCTATTACTCAGGCCTCTATCAACCAAGGTCTCAATTAACCAAGGGAAAAAAAAATGCAGTAACATTAGAAAGGAATCAGTAAATATCAATGACAATCACGACTTTTATTAGTTATTGATTGTTAAGCCTCTCATTTTAGTAATGTGTAATATAATGCCCTTACTACAGTACATTACTGTAAAAAATATGGGGTACTATTTGGTTTCGAGGGCCGTAAAAAATCGCCAAACTATTGTTGATGCCAGTGCTGCCAAAAATATTTGCGGCAACCCTAACACAAGAAAGGAAGTATAATAGTAAATAACTATCTAAGATTGATGTTTTAATTTAGATGTAAGGTTAATTCGATAATAAAAATTGCTACACATAACTGAATGGCTGCCTGCATCGCAATTTCACTACCAAGTTATCGCTAAAGCATAGTTTCATCTTGTTGGCTGTGTTGAAAATATGACCTACTGTAACCCTTTTTCTGCATCATCTCCCCTCCTTGAAATAATTCTAATTTTTACATAAGGTTTAGTTCTTTTTTTAAAGAGCTATGGCAATTACTTATACTTCTTTTTCACCGCCACTGTTTGTATTAAGAACGGACTGTTCCAGCCTAATTAAGATGCAAAAACGAAACTCGATGTTACGTCATCTGGAAAGCTGAGTCATGCCGACAGCTGATTGGCTGCCGTGAGATGACGTCATGCCTACTTCATATATAAGTATCTCGCATCGCTCTGGCTTAATCCCTTCTTGTTCCTGTTTCATTGCTCCTTGGTGTGCCGTTCCAGCGCTCATTGGAAGACGTTATTTCTATGCGTGCCGTTCAGCGATAAGTACCGTGGTTCCGGTCCACGATGAATTTTCCTGGATTCTGCAAAACGGCGATGATGTGAGCAACTGCCGTGGGTCGCATCCTGTTTCATGAAGGCGGCATTTTTAATACAAGTGTTTTTCCAGGTCTAGCAGCGATGTTTTTCCAAGCTGTGATTTTCTGCGAGCAACTGCAGTGAGCGGCTTTTGCCAATTCAAGAGCATTCAAGGTTTAATTTTCAGGTGCCTTCTTGGCCAAAAGCATAGACCAATTTATAGTGAAGTGAAATTCAAATTAATCGCATAGTTTTATTCTGTGATATGTTTTTTGCGAGTAATTGAATGCCAGTATTCCTAGGTCAGGTAACATATTTACTGTATCATTAATAGTGTAATATTCTTTAAAGGAAAAAAAACCCTTGGGGTTAAATGAATAGTTAACTAATTGTATTTTTTGACAATGATTATGTTACACTCTTTAAGTTTCTGGCATTAATCAATTTATTTATGGTATTTTTTATTTTACACACTGTTTAATAAAATGGTTAAGTTTAAACTTTTGTCTTCTATGTCTGCCACAGTCTAGTATCTAATCTTGTGAGCTTCTATTGCTTTTTTCTGCTAAGTGTTTCTGTAACTTAAATTTTGCTATGCATCTTTCTCAAATAATTACTATAATGAATGATGCCTTTTCTTTGAAAAATTCTCGGTAAAGTGCAGAATCGCCCACTTATTTGTTTGCCGCTTTTTACAAGGGCAAAAAGAATTGGATTTTTGTTCATTTTCTTTTATTTTTTAAGTGAAAATAGGTCGATGTGTACATAGATAAAGTCAAGGGTGTGCGTAGTGCCATTTTTGTGCAAGTCTGGGATTTTTTTTGAAGTGAAAATAGGTCGATGTGTACATGGCTAGAGATTATGTGCAATTCTTAAAAACGCGTCAAGCAGTGGGTGATTCTGCACTTTACCCAAAATTCTATTGCGACTTTTCATCATGGGCAATTCCCAAATTGTTAAATCCATAGGATATCAAAAAAGAATTTAAAAATTAAACTAGTATTTCAATGGCGTCTTAAGAAATATAGAACTATATAAACTTACGCTATCTGAAACCAGCACATACGCTAGCTTTGGCGAGCTATTAAATGGGCGTGTTTGCTAGATTTGGTGCTTTTGCGCATACATTTTCGCAGCAATTTTTTTTGCGGTCCTCAAAACGGAATAGTACCAAATATGGTTTAGATGTGTTAAAAATGAAAGGAATGCTAAATGAGTTAATTTGAAGATATATTCCAAACGATAAAAGAATTGCATTTGGGAAAGGATAATTTAGAAAACAACAAATCAAACTTTCAAGCTTTGAGAGATCTTCATCTACTTTCCCATTAATGTGTTTGGGGGGGGGAAGAGAGAGGAAATTTGTCAGTAAAATGCCAGAAGGAAATTTGACAAAATTTCACACTTAGTGTAAATTTTGATGGTGTTTGGTTATTCCAGTTCATAATGCAATATGTGTAAAAGATCACAAAGCAGCATTTACTTAAAGTTTTAATGAAGCTTACCCTTTTCCAATCATTGGCATTTTGAGCTTTTAATAGATCTGCAGGTATCATTTCACGTAGCATATTTCTATAAAAAAATTAAATACTTCATAAAATTTGTCAATAAATTTATTGATAAAATATGCTACTAAATTCCTAAAATGCAAGTAGAAGCTTATTACAGGGTTGCCGCTCATACAGGAGAATGAAATTTCCTGACTTTTCCAGGTGTTTTTTAACACTAGAAGCGCCAAGCTTTCTCCCTACTCAGAAGTGCCAACAGCAGTTAAATTGACCATTCAGCGAATTAAATGTATATATCAAAATGTAAATGCTTTTATAATGCTTGATAGTTATTTCAAAACTATCAAGCATTATAAAAATTATTTTAAAGAACAACAGATTATTTTTATAAAAAATAGATATTATAAATTTCAAATTATCCCTAATAAAAACACAATTTGTAGCTTTTTGCAATTTTTACACAATACAACTTTTTCAATTCTGGAAGTGCATTTTCTACACACATAATATCAATTTTTTTTACACACATCACATACATTTTTTTTTTTTTTTTTGTTTCAAAGTCCAATCTGGCACTGACATCTTTTCTTCGAGAGTCTATTGCTAGCGTTGGAAATTTCCTGGGGCAATCTTGTGATTTTTCTTCTGTTTAAATCAAGCTCTCTTAACTCCTCTGCTAATTGAAATAGGAAGCTGTGCCCTTGTAATATTTTTATCACTCTATTTATGGTAGATAACATGGGATTCGTTTTGCTAAATCCGGCATTTCATAGAAAACATGCACAGGCCATCTACATGAAGCAGCCCGAAAAGAATAGCTATGCCACATCTGGTCAAAGATATCAACTCCGCATTTGGTTTTGTTGAAGAACTCCACTGTTTCTGGAAGTTTCTTCTTATTTTGTGAGTCTACATTTACACTCCCAGATGTGAGGTACTTAGTAGTAGGACATTTTTATTCCTTTTCCCCTGATAGACCCTCAGTGTAGTTTCACCATTCTTCAGCAAAACTATTTCAAATAGCCGGTTTTTTGATTTCCTTACTTTGTGCGGAATTTCTTTTTGATGTCTTCTTACTTGTGCCCACAAAACTTGTGTTTTTTATTTTATGTCTTTTAGATATTCTGATAACGGCTTAGAAGATAGATGCATTAATGAATTTTCAGGAACACTTTCAATTTCACTTCTCGATGTATCTTTTCCAAGACATGGAAAAGCATTGCACATAAACTTTTGAGTCTACATCGACTAGCATCCAGGCTTTGATACCGAATTTGTCTGGTTTATTCGGCATATACTCTATAAACTTACACCTGGCTTTGATTGGAAAGAACTGCTCATTCATAACTAGATTTTCTCTTGGCTTATAGGAAATTGCACAGTTCTGTATAAATTGTTTCCAAATATCTGAAAGTGCAAACTTATCACTTAGTCGAGTCCTAGTTGACTTCATGTCAAATCTTAGATATTTCATAATATCTCGAAAACGATTGTGAAACATTATTTTTCGAAGAAAAGGAGGACCCAATGTATTATTCCTTTTTTAATAAGATGTTGGACACGGCAATTCTTTTAGCACATTTTGAGCTCCATTTTTCCCAGCTGTACTTTGTGAAGTAGATGTCGCAGTCCATGAAGAAAGGTGTTTTCTGAGCAGAAGGGAAGTATATCCTGTTGTAAATAATCGGTGAATGAAAGAAATGTGTATGTCAGATATTTTTCGAAGGCAAAGTGTTTTCTGAAGGCGATAACAAGATAAATCTCCCCAGTATTACTAGCAGTGAATATGACTGCTTTTGGCACTTTTAGGTATAACTAATAATAGTTTCGTTAATTTTTATTTTATTCGATTCAAATTTGGTATCTATAATTTTCGAGGTTATTTAGGAAAATCCAAAAATTTGTGACTTCTTAAGGTAAAGTGTTTTTAAGAATCCAAGGTTAAGTGACGGAATCAGTCACTTCAAATCAGTCAAAATGTCTGCTCTGGTGCTTCTAGTGTTAAGAAAATTTCAGTCTATCCACATAGGCTATGCTGAGAGGTAAATTAATTATGGCACCACTTGAAAACACAAAAATTTGCCAATTACATATGACTTACACACACACACACACACACACACACACACACACACACATATATATATAATCCTCAAAGCAGTACTATTCTAACTATAATAGGAGTTGTTTTCTCCACTGGAAGAGATTGAGATTAAATCGCGAATCTGGATTTAAAAATGACCTTTTTTGCAGTTAAATGAAAGGAGAGAAATCTATTTAATAATATTTTTAAATAAATTCAGGTGTTTCATATTTATTTAGCAGCATACATATGCAAAACATATGTTCATTAAATTTCATGGTAGTATATCATCAAACTGCTAGAATTAGATTCAGAATTATGCCAGACAAAACTGCCTGAAATTTAAACGTATTAACTAATAATAAATAAATTTAGAGGAAAGAAGCAACATTAGATGATATGAATAACATTAAAGTTAATTACTTAAAAATTGAATTGAAATAATCAACAATATTTTGGTGAAAATAGTTACATTAAATGGTCAGCCGAGATGACTGATTACTATTCTTTTATTTTATTGCAAAAAAAAAAAAAAAAAAAAAAAAAAAAAAAAAAAAAAACCCATTTTAAAAGAGAAAAAAAAAAAAAGGTTTTGCAGTAAAATCCTAGTCTATGCTACAGCCTTGTGATGATTTTGAAAATTGTTGCGAACACCAAAATGACCCATTTACTGCCAACACCTTCTTAAACAGAGAGGTGTGTTGTTACTGCTCATCATAATGTCACCAAATCCCATGTGTGCCATGCATGGAGATTAGAATAGAGTACATGGGAGCTACTCTAGCCTCCATGGTACTGTATACTAGGATTAAATCAATTTTTTATACAAGAGTGGGAAGGTATTTTCTTTAGTTCAACATGCACTGCATGTCTCTCGATTCTCAAGGTTATTGGAAACCAAAGTTGCTGAAAATTTGCTGTCTTTCTGAAAGACAATCTAATTGGAGCTGCGAAAATTAGCTCTATGTCAGCTGCCAAATGATGCTCATGCAATACATAATTCGTCAACAAAGTGATCGCTTCAAATGTTGAAGCAAAACTTGCATTTTTGGGGGATTGCCATTTGACATTCCCTAACTTTTCCAGATTTTGACTACAATAGTTAAATTCCCTGATTTTTCCAGTTTTCCCGGTAGCATGGCAACCCTGTTATTATTTAAGAGTAATTTGTTTCTAAAAACATAGGTCTTATATCATGTGAACTTACGGTATGCTTTGAAGTTCAACTTTGCTTTCACCGTATCGTACCCGATAGATAAGTGCTGCTAATCTGGCAGCCTCTTCTTTGCTACATTTATGATAACCTCTCAATAACTTAGGTAACTCCTAAAAAGAAAAATGAGCAAAAAGAAGAAACTTAATTGTTATGCAAATATAATTAGTATATTAAGACCACACAGGAGCAGATTTAAACACTAAATTAAAATAATACCTGATGGTAATGAAAAATTATATCAGCATTTCTATCTTTGCCAGGTACAGTATTGGTCCACAACTTTTTCATAAAAAATACTTGGTATGTAAATTGTGGCACAGAACCTGAAAAGTAAAATATATGCAGAATTTAATTCTAATTTAGAAATACAGAGCACTAGATCATCAACTACTAAGCTCATGATCAAAATAAAAGGAACCATCAGAAATCAAACTTGACTGTTACTTATTGGAAGATAATTTAAGGCACATTACAAAAGCATTGCCAGTTGATTAATCTCAAAATATTGAATTTAAAATCAAATTTATGGAAATTTGAAAAATGATCCCTCCTGTGTTACAACTGTTAACTTCCTTTTGTAGTTAAATTAATCACTCGTAAAATGGTTGTAAAAGACAAACATTTATCTGAAGATAAATCTTAATAACCTATACATAACGTATTCGTAAACGTACATACATAACAACGTACTTACTGCATCGTACCGTTAAACATTTGAAGTGACAATCATCTGAAAGTATATTTTTAAATTAAAATAGAACGACATCCAGAAATTAGCTGTTGCCATTTTCTCAATAGATATTTTGTCTAATAACAATAAATAATTAACAATCGTGCTTACATTCGACCATCCTGACTTTTCAATTGTCCAATTGAAACCAAATCTTGTCATTACATTAAAGTAAACAATAAACAACAAAATATAATAATAGGTAGGAAAAAAAATAAAAAGAAATATAATTTTTAAAAAAATTCTATATGTCTTATACAAAGTCTGTATAGCGCAATGGTTTGCGCACTGTTCGCTTGGGTCTTTTAAGTTCATCATCATCTGCTTCATTATCGTCAACGTCTGTATTTCTGGAAATGATGGTCTCTGAAGATCTGTTTTTAGCACATGAATAAGCTTGGTAGGCTTTCAACAACCCATTGGGGATACAGATCAAAAATGGGGATAGTGGGATCTTACAGATCAAGAATGTGTGGACAAGATCTAGATCCTTGACCGCGTGGCTGCTGTTCTTCGTCATTTGCTTCAGTATCTTTACTAGTTGCTTCTCCTTCCATTCTACTTTGACTGCATTCAGTGTCATTCCTATGATAGTGGGTTTTGCTATTAAACTTGCCTTTAAGGTTGTAGTTGCGCTTATAATCTACATCCTTGTCTCTGCGAATAAACGAATACTTTCGTCATTCTGTCTTTGCCTTAGCATAATTGATGTTTAGAGAACATTTGACCACAGTGTCGTTTCTATTTGCAACATAAGGACTATTTTCTATAATTCATTTTCCTCAAGAGCTTAAGGCAGACTCGATTTATTTTTCATCAATTTGGAGGTTTACTCAAATAGTTCATCTTCCCTATACCGAAGTGAATCTTTTTCCTATTCTGACATAAGCGATTGTGGTAGATCAGCATGTCCTTCCGATGATTAGATCAATGGCTGTGCATTATAGGTACAAGGATATTTACGCCTTGGCCTTATATTATCAACTTCAATATCGGCTTAATCATTCCATAGAGGCCACTAACCTGCAAGAACCCCTTGATTTTCCAAACCATAACATCATTCATAGCAGGTTCTGGTTTCAGACTTTAAGTCTGTCTGAGCAACTGAAGTCCTTTAGAGGCAACAAGACTCCCATTCAATTAAAAGCCTTACTTCTCAACTACCGTTTTGCTTATTCCAATATGAAGTTCTCTTCTCCCTTCATAATTTTCGCCAACTTGCACGCTCACCAGTAAGGCATGTCGCTGGACAGTTTTTCTCAAGCATTCTGGTAATAGCTACTTTTTAATTTAATTCCTAAAATAATATTCCTTTTTAATTTAAGTTTTCCGTTATCTACATTCATACAAAAAAAAAAACGTCATACGCAAAATTCTTCCATGTATTTCCTACATCTTATGTGCATAAAAAATTTTTGGCGAAATTTTTCAGGTGTCATCTTGTACCGTTAATAAGATCCTTTTAACTTCTTTATAATCGTTGCAATCTCATCGGTTCTCTGGTATTAACTGAGCAATATCATATGGATAAGCCAAACAAATGAGTAACCATGTGTTTTCTGGTATTTTCAATGTTAGCCAAGTTCAAACATATTAAAATATAACTGATATCATTCTCGTCAGATTTAAAATTTTTGCATCAAACGATGAAGCTCTACTTTGGATTCATGTGCGACCACTAGCATTTTCATTGTGCCAGAATTTGTAGATCTATTTCTGCTTCGATACTTGTTTGCGTCAAATTCCATTCATACTTTGTTTCGTTTTCTTTTCTTCTTTTCTTACATTTTTTCTTCTTGATGTTTAGTTCTTCAATTTCTCTTTTTCCTTTTTTCATATTATATAATGTTTAAACCGTTCTTTGGCGCATTCTTCATCGTAATGTTTGCTAGCCAAAATTATCTTTTTAAATCGCATTTTAGAATCTCATTTACAAGCTTCTTCCCAATTTTCTTCAGCTAATATTCTTAATCGCATTTCTTTGCCTTACCGAAATAGACATTTTCGTACACATTAAAATGCAAATTATATATATATGCTATTATTATTAACTCCAATTAGACAACTTAGTAGAACACAATTATTGGCATTTTATAAGTTTGTTGACGTTCTAAATATATTTAAAATTTAAAGAATGAAATAATAAACTCTCTTTCCCAAATGATAAAAAAAATAACAAAATTAAATTCTATAATAAATATGTTACATCAATTAATGCACATACCTTGAAATTCAAATTCTTTCAATTTATTTTTGTAATAGCAAATTATTGTAGCTTTTTTAGGCTTAGGTTTCAGAATAATCCCACTTCTGATTTATGTTAAACTTCCTTTTGTAGTTAAATTAATCACTCGTAAAATGGTTGTAAAAGACAAACATTATTTGAAGATAAATTTTAATAACCTAACGTAACGTATTCGTAAATGTAACATAACATAACAAACGTACTTACTGCATCGTACCGTTAAACATTTGAAGCGTACATCATCTGAAAGTATATTTTTAAAATTAAAAATAGAACGACATCCAGAAATTAGCTGTTGCCATTTTCTCAATAGATATTTTGTCTAATAACAATAAATAATTTACAATCGTGCTTACACAACAAATCTTTCTTTAACATGCTGCAAAATCAGCTCTGACAGAAATGCAAACCACACAGCTTGATTTCATTAATTCATCAAGATGCTGATCATCTTTTAGAACTGTTAATGTTATGAACTCAAATTTATTTAATGCATTTATTTTACGCTTTTGTTTGCATGTGCAATGTCTAATTTGTTTGTATAATTCTATTGGCAACATGCTACTGTAGTTTAGAAATACTGTTCTAAAGATATTGAAATGTAATGTTACCACTTGTCTTTTCATCGCACACTGTAAAGGTAATAAATGCTTTCCTGGTTATATAATGTTAAATAAATAAAATTTTATCTAGCACTGCATCACTGACTTAATAATACTTTAAGAGGTTATGTGTCCAGCCTAACTTTATCTGCATTATCAGAAATTTTATTGCTAAGCCTAACCGTGTGAGCATATTACAAACAAAATTGACTGGTTTCAATCATATACAAAATTTGAGCATCCAATTGAAGTAAGAGTTGGTAATAATGCAACAATGAAAGCTTATGGACATGGTGCCATATCACTAAAAGAAGTTAGTACAGAGTTCATGGAGAAACAGCTTCACGGAAAATGTACTGTATGTGCCCCTGGTGCTGCAAGGAATTTATTTTCTGTAAGCCAGGCACTAGATCATTTATGCAAGTTTAATATGGCAAATGATAAATGAGAATTTTTGAAATCGAAAAATGTTGTTGCTGTTGGAATTTGCTGTGGTAACTTATTCAAGTTATTATGCAAAACAATGTCTCTTGAAATTGTAGTGTTGTGTGTCCCCCTGAAGCGCAGGTAAGCGAAACAAATTCTCTTCAACACTGGCATGAAAAGCTGGGACATTTAAATAAACAACATGTTAAAAAGGTATTACAGTCCCATGGCATTGAAATAAAATTGGATAGTGATTTAAGTAAGGCCTATATATTAGGAAAACAGCATAGGTTGCCATTCCAGAGTTGTCAACAACATGCTAAATGCTGGCTTTAGTGTTCCACATGCAAATTTTGATCGGAGGTTGATTGGCGGTAAGCTAACGTGGTTGCCGCTGACGTCAAGATCGGCGGGTTGGCCGAGTATTATATATATGTACGCTGGTATCGGCGAATGTTCTTGTTCTCTTGTGTTATCATGAGTTAGCATAATGCTAGTTTTTCTTTCACTTAATGATTTTAAATGTAAAGGCTACAGTGTTAGTTCTTTTATTTTAATTTACGGAATAAAGCATGAATTTTATTTAGATTAGTCTTAGCTTTATTTAAGGGAAGCAAAATATGCTTTGCCTTTATCACCACTGCCAACAGGGTTATGGGCCCAGCGCCAACAGCTAATCAGTCATCCAGTTCAACTCAGCATTGAAGGAATGTAGGTGAAGAGGGCCGTTATCCACGAAAAGAAGCTGACCTGTCTTAGAAGTTTGTTCAAGTCGTTGTGCTCACACTTAATTGAAGATGTCATTACTACCTGAAGGTTTTGAGTTGTTAAACCATGACAACTGGGAATCGATGGAAAGTCGACATGAAAATGCTGTTACTGGATAGAAATTGTTGGAGCTTCATAGAGGACAAAGAAGAAGAATTAGATAAAAGTGCAACAAAGCGTGAAAAGCAGGAGTTCACACTGAGGGAGAACAGAGCCTTCACTACATTATATTACGGAATTAAAGCTGAGTTCAGGCCGCTGATACAAGAATGTTCAAGTGGTAAAGAAGCATGGGAAGTTCTACAGAAGCAATTCGAACCCAAAACAAGAGCAAGGATAATTCAGTTACTGGATGAATTTTTTAGTATTAGATATACGCCAAATGAAGAAATAGGATTATTCATCGCAAGGATAAGAATGACTGCAAAGAAGTTGGCTGAAGCTGGTCACAACTTGGCAGATCTTTTTAAAGGATTCCAGGCAATAAGGAGATTACCCCAGGAATACTCCGGCATTGTACAATTGATCTATAGGTGGAAGGACGAAGATTTTACGCTGGAAAGAATTGCTGAAGAGCTGGTAAGGGAAGAAAGCCGACTTCGCCAGGTAATTGCCGATTTAGAAGACAGCAAGGTAAGCGTGTTTTAATACTATAGTTTAAATGCAGGAAAGATAAAGTTGAAAATAAAACTAAATCTAAGAAAAAAATGGGGATATGAGAATAGGACCTTGTTTCAGATGTCATAAAATTTGGCCACTTAATTCGCTCAATGTAAAGAAAATGTAAGTAAAAATCAGAAGTTTAAAATAGACGATAAAAATGGACAGTTTAAAGATAAAGAATTAATGTTAGTAGAAAATTATGTAACAACTACAGATAAAGGAGGTAACGCAGATAAATTTAATTGGGGTCGTAGATACTGCAGCTACAACTCATCTATATATGTATGTCTTTACTGTAAAATTGTGAAAGTAAAGTAATTTTATATAATTATGATGGAAAATGATCAATTATAATGACATTCATCACAACACAAAATTTAAATTACAATTCTATTTACAAGTCAATTAAAAGACATCAAAGCATACTAAGAACTAAATGCATAAAAAATACTATCAGTTTTTGAAATACTCATGAAAAACATAGTCTTAAAACGAAAGAAACAATAGCTGTATTGTGTAAAAAACTGTTGTGATTACAAATTACAAAAATAAAGATTAATATCAAGGTTCAACTTCACACTAGGAAAGGGTACTGTCAAAATTTGCAGTAAAAGTAGGCAATCGAATAAATTGGATTGAGTTAGATAATGTGTTATATAATCCAAATCTAAGAAGAAATTTATTATCGGGAGCAAGGTTAGAAAAGGCTGGTGCTCATTTTGTGATTTCAAAAGGGAAGATGTGGATATACTTTAATAATTGGGATAGATTATGCTACGCTAAAATGATATGACGGACTTTATCACGTAAAACCATTTAGATATGCAACAGGTAAAAGGGGAAGCTGGTTACGGTACAGAAATTGGAAAGTTAAATAAAGTAGACGATGCAATGCTATGGCATCGGAGATTTAGCCACGTAAATTTTGATATATTAAGAAAACTAGTAAGAATCAAAGCGTGAAAGGGTTACCAGAAATTGGAAAACCAATAGAGAGGTGTAAATCGTGTATTATTGCTAAATCTAGTAGAATAACTTTTAAATCTGTTCCGAAGAGATCGGATATAAACCATTGCAGTTGGTTTATTTAGACGTTTGTGGCCCACTACCAGTTCCATCTAAAGGTGGGAGTAAATATTTTCTTGCTATTGTAGATGACTATAGTGGATTAGTAACAGTGTATTGTATGAAAAATAAAAACAAATCGTTCTACAACTTTAAGAATTATCATAGGCAAATGGAAAGACTGACAAATAGAAAATTAATAAGTATACGCACCAATAATGGTGGGGACATTATCTGTAACAGGCAATTCGAAGGGTACTTAGCCGAAAATGGAATTAGTGTTGAACGCACGAACGCGTACACCCCAGAAGAGGAACGGTATGTGTGAACGTTTTAACCGAACGGCATTAGACGCAGTTAAAGCTATGCTTAATGATGGTAAAATGGGAAAAGAATGGTGGGCAGAAGCTCTTGGCTGTTTTCGTACATACGTGGAACAGAGTATGTCATAAAAGCAACTGAACCCTTATGAAATGTTCCTAAATAGAAAACCCAGTGTTGTTTATTTTAAATATTTGGTTGTAAAGCCTATGTTGGCGTGCCAAAACAGATTAGGAAATAAATTACAAATGAGGTGCAAAGAAAGGAATCATGGTAGGGATATGCGAAGGAAACTAGGGGTTATAGGATATGTGCTGCCTATTAGAAGAACGCAGATTAATAGAAACCTGTAATGTGAAGTTCGATGAAAAACTGAAAAAACTGTATGCAGCAAATGGCATCCTGGAACAGAAATCAAAACCTAAATTTAAAAGACTAGAGGAATCTGAGCTATTAGCAGAATCAGATGAAGAACAGGAAATTTCTAGAGAAGAAATAAAGTTGTCAGATGACAAATCTACTCCGAAAGAAGTATCAGACTTAAAAACTGGCAAAGAAAAGCAGTTTAAAAGGCCAGACGATGGAACACGTACAGACATATATTATTATGTAGAGGGAACAGACACCCGTTTTAGATCCTATAATGATATTGAAAAGTATTGTGAGGCAAGAAATATTAAATATGAAAAAGATAAGTTCGATTTTAGTGGAAAAAACGAATACTCGGGGAAAAGTTAATTTGTAGAACAGGAGACTAGCTCTGTGTCTGAAGAGGCAAATTCCGTAGAAATAAGTTATCCCACAAAATTTTAAAGAAGCACGAAAATCAGTAAATGCCGAAGAATGGGATAAGGCAATGAAAGAAGAAATCGACACAATAAAGAAAAGAAAGGTTTGGGAATTAGTCGAAAAGCCAGAAAATAAAACTATAATAGGAAACAAATGGGTCTATACGCTAAAAAGAAATGAAAAGAATCAAGTGGTTAGATACAAAGCGGGTTTAGTAGCACAGGGATTCAGGCAGAAAAGAGGTGAAGATTTTTGATGACGTTTACAGTAAATTTTTCAACGATAAGAATATTTTTCACTATCCTGGTATGTTTATATGGATGGACTAATTGTCACTTAGATGTAAAGAACGCATATTTATATGCAAACTTAAATGAGAAAATATATATGACCCAACCAGCGGGATTTATCGAAGAGAAAAATAAAGTGTATTTATTACACAAGGCCATTTACGGTCTACATCAAAGCAGCCATGAATGGTTTTGTGAATTTGAAAGTACTTTAGAAAATCTACATTTTAAGAAAATACAATGGTGTAATTGTAATGTGTTTATAAGTTCAAATGTAATTCTCTTGTTTATATGTAGATGATATTGTGATTTTTAGTAAAGATCAATATAGTATAGATAAAGTAATTTCACAGCTGAGTAAGTTTTTTGATCTTAAAGTATTAGGCAAAACTAAAACGTTACTTGGAATTGAATTCTTAGAGAATGAGAATGGGGTTTTTATACATCAGCAAAAATATATCGAAGAAATTTTTGAAAAATTTAAACATTTCCAGATACCAATAACTTCACTTCCCATAGCTAAGGGCACTATTCTTACAAAATTAGATTGTCCATCTACAAGTGCAGAAATTGCGGAAATGCATACATTACCCTTTAGAAATCTGTTAGGATGTTTAGTTTTTGTAGCTAACAGGACAAGGCCTGATATTACATATGCAGTGAATATCTTATCACAATTTCAGGAGAATCCTGGAATTAGGCATTGGGAAGCATTGTTGAAATTGCTTGGTTATCTCAATAGTACTAAAGTTAAACTTATCGAAGATTAAACATCTAAATTTATATTATTGTTATTCAGATGCTGATTATGCAAGTAATAGAGATGACCGCGTGTGTCCATGGGAGGATTTATATTATATTTAGATGAAGTACCGGTAATCTGGAAAACTGTTAAACAAAAATGTGTAAGTTTATCAACCATGGAAGCAGAGTATATTGCCTTATCTGAAGCAGCGAAGGAATTAATGTGGACGAAAAATGTCTTACAAGATGAAATTTTAAAGTTTAATTTAAGAGAGTGCAAACTATTTTGTGATAACAAGTCTGCCATTGATTTTTCTAGATCGCCAATAGAAAATCGCCAAACTAAGCACATAGACGTAATCCATAATAGATGCACATAGAATCCATAGGTGGTTCTCGCTATTACATATGCTTTACAGATGATTTCTCTAAGTACAGAAAAGTTTATTTTCTTAAGCATAAGTCAGAAACTATAACTAAGTTTGAAGAATTTTGTAATTTTTTTCAAAATTAAACAGAGAAGCCAATCAAAGCAGTTTTAAGTGATGGTGGACTGGAGTATATAAACAAGGACTTTCAAGAATATTTTGCGAAGAATGGGAGCAGAGCTTAACTGCATCACCTCCTATACCACCCAGCAAAATAGAACGGCTGAAAGAACAAATAGAACACTTGTTGATTTAGCTCGAATAATAATGATTGCTAAATCTTTGCCAAAGTCATTGTGGGCTGAGTTAGTTAATACTGCTGTATACATATTAAATCGTGCTGGAACCTCATCAGTAGATGGCAAGTCTCCATTTTAATTGTTTTGTGGCAGAACTCCAAGACTTAATCACGTTATAGGTACAAAGTGTTTTATTCATGTATCTAAACAGAAGCAATGGAAGTGGAGTCCAAGAAGTGAGAAAGGAATATTGGTTGGTTATTTAGATGATGTTGACGGTTATCGGGTATGGTTAAGAGGTACAAGAGAAGTAAAAAGAACTAGAGAAGTAGTGTTTACTCCTGAAGTTGTTTCATTATCCACTGCTGTTACATCAATTCCTGAACAGCCAATCAATGTACAACCTTAGTTTTAAGAGCATGCATTTTACTGCATATACAAGCTGTAAACAAAGAAATATGATAAAATACCTCTTCAATTTTTGACATTAAAGTTTGTAATACCCAAAGATAACTACAGCAATAAAAATTAGACTTGTTGAAACAAAATGACACTGCAGAAATAAAAAATAGATGCCATCTGGTTAAAACTCCGGAACACTGATCACTATACCAGATATGATTTCCCACAGCAGAATACAGTGGGTACTTTTATTTTTTCTCTTTGTGCAATGTAAATATGAATCATTTTTTCAAGAAAAAAAATAGCCAGTGTTTTGTCATAATCAACCAAATTATTTGGAAGGAATAACAACAACAACAACAACAACAACAACAACAACAAATCCTTTACAACTTAAATATAACAAAAATTTTGAAGCATTCGTAACAAGTAATGGTGTGGTGCTTAATTCATAACAAGCAGTAGTGTATGAAGAACTTAAATAAACAATGATTATATTAAATTAGGAAGTTAGAAAACAGTTAAACTATTTGTTGAACATCAAAATTCAGAAATTTACTTACCATCACGAGTAGGTCGTGCTTTCCTTATCCAATCAGTTAAATGCCTCACAAAATCAAAGAAGAAATCTCCTTCTGGAACACTAATCACTAAACATAAAAATTATAATATGATCATTAAAATAAGAGTGCTGACTTTAGACAAATTATGAGGAAAAGTAATAGAATAATTACCTTTATCAGCAATTTTCACGAATAAGCTAAATCCTTCTGCTGATCTCAAATTCAGCCGTTGGGATATATTTTGACAGAAATCCTTTGCTCTAGTGCTTGAATCAACTTCAAAAGCCTTTGAAAGGAATACAACTGGAAATTAAGATTTTATCCATAAGACAAGATGTTAATAATTGCTTAAATAGAAGAAATAAATTACCTCATCAGTGTCATCAGGAAAATAAACTTTGTGAAATATTTGAGTCGTTTTGTGTTGAATTGCTTCAACCTCCACTAAATGGGGTGGATATTTCCGTTGGCCTGTCCTAAAAGAAAAATATTGAGATAAAACAATAAGAGTGGCTTTAAATTCTCATTGAATCTTCAGTAATATAAGCAGATGCAAAAGCTAAATTATTAAAGCATTTTGTAATGCATGTAACCTTTCCTTTACCTTGAAAATTTGCAGTTTTGCAGCAAAAGCACGCATGAATTTTGTAAGATGCTGGAAATTCTTTATTACTTCATGATTCACGTCTAATCAATCTTAATTCTTAATTCTATTCCCATCTATTGGCAATAGATTAAACAACATGTTGTAGTACTATATTCCAAATACACATATTAGAAATACGTGATTATTGAAAAGATGTGAGTCAGGCTTCCATCAGCAGCAGATTTTACTATCAATTACATACATAGCTGGATTCTCAACCTGTCTCACTAAGGTGTAAGTATTAACTAGCAAATGACTGTTTTCAATGTTTTTAAGTTTAGACCACATGTACAAATTATCATATGGTTTTTAATAGTATTAACTGGTCAGACCATATCTTCCAGAACTTACACAGATAACCAGAAAATGGTTACAATTATTTTGCATGAAGGAGCAAAAATATGGCAATTCAATTTCTGCACCTGTGCTGATTTTATTAGATCCAACCAAGCACACTGCAGAGGATTCTGTGCATAATTTTGTCAACATTAATTTTTGATAATAATTCTGATTATATATAAGCATAACTTAGCTAACTATAAAATGTAATCTTGTCAAGGAATATTTCTTTCAAATTGTAATTACACTTTAAAGGAATTAATTAGAACCTCTCATGGGCAATAAATATATACTTGTGAAGCCTACCACATGTATTAATGCTAAAGGAAGGGGGTTAAATAAAGTTTTTAAAATGGAAGTACACAATTTCAATAGTTTCCAAATAAAGCACCATGAAAGAAATTGCAATGAAACTTGGAAGTTGTTTGGTGGTTTAGAACACAGAAAAACAATATTACAGAGATTAAATGAAAATTTCGATATAGATTCAGAAAATCATTTCTAAGCAAAAAATTTACTTATGTAGCATAAGAAGTTTAAAAGCATAAGCTACTGATATAGAGGTAATATTCTTGAGTGATCTTTTATATCTCACAAACAAACTGAATTTGTTCATGGCACCTTTGAACAAAGCCCAAATTAACAGTTAGGTGGATTCTTGACCCTCAAATTGTTGTCTAGAATTTGAAAATTTTTACGAAAGAGTTTAAAATTCTATCCAAAAAATTGTAATTAATACAGTACCTAAATGAATGCATTTTCACTGCAGACAAGGACATTTTGTCTACTGAGTTATGTGATATATAGTGATTGATATATAGACATCATATGAATGCATGCACATACACTTAAGCATATCGTTCACTACACTTTCTTTAAATAAGTTACACAAACTGAACACATTTTTTATTAAAACATTACTTTGCTACAGGGGAAAAATATCTTATCAGTAAAGATTTCATTTCTTTATAAATCATATGAAAACAAAATTTTTAATTTTAATACAATATTAGACAGAGAATTTACCTTTCCATTAAAAAACCGAAATCTTTAATAAATCAGAAACGACTCAACTGGGAAAGACAGCAAATTCAAATATGTAGCCATCAACTGGAATCACCTCTAAGCAATAAACTTCATTACTACAATTTTACCACACTCAGTACCTCCCTGTCCAACTAGTCAAATAGCTACAAAACATTTATAGAGTACTTCTTAAAAATTTGACGGAACAATATATACTCAAGAATAACCTACCTTAATGTTTTTTGCAAACGCTGCAAAGAATCCATTGCTATGGGATGACGTCTAGTCCTTAAGAAGGCTGTCAGTTCCTTCAAGAGAATTTGACTTGGAGCAAATAACCCAGTAGCTAACCACATCAGTTCCCAACCTCTTTCTTCACTTAACCTTCAATATCAAAATATCATACACCATAGCAAAACTGAGAAATATTTGAAGTAAGCAAGGAAAATAAAAATACTTATTATACAAGCACAAAAATTAACAGGGTTATTTAAAAAGGAGAGATACTTAAAGAAGTAATTAGTTTAAAAAGAGGAATTAAAATTAGTTTAAAAACATACAGCTTAATATGATTTTAAATAACAGATTATCTAAATTTTTCACATGAACTGAAATGATTATCATGGCACTTAGATAAGTTACAATACTTATATCAAGTGAGAAATTATGCTACATATAATTTCATGGAAACAAACAAGCAAGCAAGCAAAGCTACAATAATTTACCGATGAATACATAAATACATGTGGTAAAAAAATTAGGAATACACAAAGAAACATTAGTTTAAATACATGCTCTTTACATGATTTTATAAGATAAATTATTTAAATTTCTTATAAGAAAATAAATGAAAGCATGGTATTTAACTAAATTACAAAACTGTTGCCAAGTATAAGTGTGATTTACTAATACAGTTATTAGTGGGGGGGATTTGTTTGCAACTTTTAAATTGAGCTTGATATTTATCAGGAGGTGCACAAAAGTGAATGTGTGTATATACAGTCGATTAGACAGATAATAACTTGATCTGAAATTTGACTTTCCTTACTTTCTTACGACTATTTAAAAAAAAAAAAAAAAAAAAAAAAAATGTTTTGCAAGGGATCCGTAAAATGGTGCAAATAAAAGTATGGCTGGTTGGATAATTTGAACAAATCATTTAACAGTTATCTGTTTAGGAAGAAAGTTTTGCAGATTTTCAACACGACTCTACCTCGTATTGACATAACACACACATAAAAATATAAAAACACTTATAAAGCCTGTCTATTTTCTAGACAGAAACTGAACAAAGGATAAAAATATTTTGGCGCTTTAGAGCCTGAACCAATTATGGCCATAGAAATATCTTACAAGATGGATGATGTATATTAATTATCTCTAAAAGAGATGACAGCAAAGTAGATTTTTCTAGGCAAACATACAAAGTAAAGCAGAATACACAGAAGATCTTTGTTTAGAAGGGACATCCTTTTTTATCAAGAACTTGTATCATGAAGCACAAAACAAAGTTAGCCTGCTGCATTTGGGAATAAATTCACTGTACATTGGGGAAGGGAGAAGAAAGAACCTGCAGATGTTTGATGATTTCATTCATTTGTTTATGGGTACGGGAAAGATACTAAAGTAATACAGCAATACAATTAAGTATACTGTTTAGGTTAATGGTTTAATATCATGAATTTAATTTACAGAAATGAAAGCTTAAAATTTCTAATATGTTTTCTCCAAACCATAACAATAAACTTTTTGAAATTTTTAGTGTGAATAACCAACATATCAACATTTATATTTTAAATGCTAATAAAGTGATTAAGATGGCTGACTATGGCACTAATAGTCTCTTCCCATATTCCAAATGTAGCAGCTTCATAAATTCCTATTATTTATTAATATTTTAAAATTTCATTGAAAACTTAAAACATAACTTTAATACAGTACAAAGTCTGAAATCCGGATGTTCATTATCCAGAATGATCTGAAATCCGGACCTCAAAGCCACAATTACTTTTTTTTGTATGCTTCATACATGTGCATTTGATTTTTCCTTCCATAATAAAACATGTGGAGATTTCCACTTAAAAGTTCCTGATTCTTAATTTCACTTAGGCACTAAATAAAATACCTCGTTATAAAAAAACAATCATGTCAGCATAAATTTGTGAGATTAATAATTGGGATCCGTAGTTCAGTATTATCTTGGCATACATCTCAAACCAAACATTCACCTATTTTATATGCCTGACGCTGACCTGGTGAGTCATTATTTATTATATTTTGCTTTCATCACCACTTGTTTATCAATATATGACAGCTTCAGTAATAACTCATGCAGTGATGTCTAAACTCTTTTTTATATTAGTAATTGAATAACAAGAGTATGACAACCTTTTATGCTAACATTACACCTGGCAATGATTATACATTTTTAAATGCTCTAAGAAATGCTAACAAAGAAAAATTCAACAAAAATTTCTTTACATGTGCTAAAATATATTTTGTTAATGAAACTCATAGGCCAAAAGATTACATTTGGTTTTATTTTATTTAAGAATAACTGATGTTATTCACCATAAATCCAGAAGCGGCGGCAGAATATGTCGGCACCAGACGGCAGAATTTTGGGAAGACAAAATTTTTGGAATTTGGGGAAGCACCCAGCGGCAAAATTAAGGGATGAAAAGTTTTTTATGATTTATAGAAAGCACCTGGGATCCAAAGTGTAGGCTCGGTGAAAATTTAGAACTTAGGAAGGCACTTTGTAGCAGAATTTAGGAACCATAGAGACTGCACCAGGCTATCGAGCACCGGCCCTAGATAAAGCCTTAAGTATATGTGGGAGTTTATTTATTCAGGACTCAGATTAGTTTTAAGCATCTGCAAAAAATAAACATAGGTATAGTAAACTAATACAATAAATAACTAATACAATTCAGGCTTAATTCAGTATGCAGTAGGAGCAAGACAAAATTTAGCAAAACAACTTGGCTTTCGTCGCCAATCCTGTGATACACAGCCAATAATGTATAACAGACACTAGTAAGCTAGGCTAAAATTATCTTACCTGATTCTATAAGGAATTTCAGTTAATGTAGCAGACTGTGCTGCTCTCTAACCTTCTAATTTGACCCAGCTTATTATTTTTTGCAGAATGTTATTATTACAGCAATTTTATAAAAATTAAGCTTGAACTTTCAATTATGTCGAAAAGAGTTTTCAATTCTGGGGCTGCCTTAGGATCTAAAAAGCGAAACCATGTTTCGATGTCCATTAAACAAAAAGTGGAACTGCTGCAAAAAATAGATAAAAGCATATCTGTCTGAAAATTTTGCGAGGAGTATGGCATTAGAAAGTCGACTGAATGTAACATAAGAGAAAGGAACTTTTTGAATTTTTTGTGGAAGCAACTTAAACAACTTACATTGAAAGAAATGTTTAATACAGTAAACAAATAAATATTAAGCTTTTTTTTTTTTTTTTTTTTTTTGTAAATTTTGATACCCTTTAGATCATAATTATTGTTTATTTCATAAATTACAATTCCATATTTTTAATTGTATAATTTCTGCATGCCATCTTACCAGATTTAAATTGATGATCTAATATCAGGAAAGATCCCAAATCCAGAATTGCCTAAGTCCCGATGAGTCCGGATTTCAGACTTTGTACTGTATATACATTAAATTATACATTTAAAAAAGAAGATTCAAATTATATGATATTTCTTACCTGTTTTTATTATCAGTAAGCTGTTTCATAATTTGACAGTATATTTCATCTCTTAAAATTTCCTAAGAAAAATTAATTAAAATTAGTATTATATAAAACACAGTCTCAGATAAAATTAAGTAATGAAAATTAAACAATAACAAATATTTAACAGTTTTATTTTAGACACAGATACAACACAATAAACTCTACATGTTTCAATGGGCCATCATAGATTTGATCAGTTAATTCATTTCCTGTTCTTGTACGTCTTGATGGCAAATCGCCCATGTATTTTAATAATGGTAGTAAAAGTCAAGGTATTTATAACAAAATTACAATATATATTAAAAAATAATGAGTCACATTACAGGTAAATAGTGACTACTTACACAAAATATACAAATACTTTTTAATATTTAATAGACATACATATTTAGCAGACTAAGATGTAGGCTTATTCATTTAACAGATTAAAATACAAAAGTTTTCAGGTAGAATATATTTAATTTCTAAAAGGATATCATTAAATGCAAAACATGCTTCTTGACAAAGTTCTTCCTTATTAAGTAACTTTTTTAACAATGGTTGCTTGATTGGTTCTCTAGAATGCCTCCATAACTGATCACTATCTCTTTTCCTTGCTGAAGACAAAGTTAAAGTTCTTGGGATAGTACGCTTTGGAGGTAACCTAAAATCAGTTCATTGAACAATGAAAAGACAAAACATGCATTAATTACACCAAAACAAAAATATCAATGAATTATAAAAACATTTAGTTGCATCTCTGATCTGCATTAACTAAAATGCAGGAGTTGCATACAGACTGATAAAACCAAGTTCATCCCCAAGGAAATGATTTTATTGATCAAGTAATTTGAAAACTTTTACCTCTTAAAAGTTTTAAATCAGTTTCAGATGAAAAAAGCTAAATCGGGTCACGCATCAGTTAGGAATGTACATAGAATTTTCTTATTATTGCTATTCATTAGTTTCTAGCAGAAATCACTCCAGCCTGTTCATATATTATTTCACATCATCCACTGAAACTTGTATAAACCCAAACTGAGGAATGAGCTATAGTAATATTTGAATTTTAATAAAAACTCCGTAGACAAAATTTTTTCCCTATGTATTTATTTTAAAAATTCATAGTTTTGAATTGTGGTCTGGTTTTTAAGTTAATTTTTGCTTAAACACTTATTTCAATACGTTCACTTCTTTGGTTCCTTACTTTTCTTTTTAATCCCTTTCAAATGGGCATTCTAGCCACTCATCACTAGAGATTGAATTCAGGGAATGGGCAAAGTGTATATGCATTTTAATCTTTAACTTTTTTAAGACCACTAGATAGCACTCTATATTCATTACTTTTGAAATGAACACAGTTTTAGGTTCCTGACCTTCAGTTTGTATATATTCTGCCTGACCTTGCTATTTTACTCATCAGCTGTTGGGAGGGTGGAGGAAAAGCATAATATAAACAGAGCTGGGCTCTTTAAATTGCCATGTGCTAATATAAACATTTGCATTTCTGATTTATATCTGACACCCGTTTTTATTTTTTTCCCCTCTACTATGTACGGTCTTTTAGGGTTACTTTGTGGATTTCTGTTACATTTTGCTTTGCCTTCAGATATATTTTGGGTCCTTTCCTTTTTATTCCGGAAAGCATTGACTCTAGTCTATTATGGCGTGAAGGCATCATTTATCAGAGGAAGAATACACTCGTATGGTAAATGAACCATTTACTGACACAAATGATAATAAATGCTGAAAAAGAAATTAATTTTTTAAATATTTTCTTCGATGATGATCTACTAAATTTGATTGCTGAAGAAACAAACAATTTCACTCAAAATGCTCAAAGAACTGCTCTGTCAATATCCAAGTCAGCCAAATTTTCAGATGTAAATACTGAGAAAATAAAAGTATTTTTTGCAATGATAATACCGATGGGCATTAACAAGAAGCCTAATTTGAAAGTGTATTTTACTACAAATGAAATATTCACTACTCCGTTTTTCAATAGAGTTATGCCTAGACAATTGTTCTTTAATAATTTCAAATTTTTGCTTTTGACCTCAGACAACAGTGGTAAAAGGTTGAGATAACTAAGACTAATCGTAGAAAATCTAAAAGATAAATTTAAAAGAAACTACATACCCAAGGAAAATATTTGCATTGATGAATCTCGTTTTGCTTGGAAAGAACATCTTGACTTTCAGCAGTATGTTCCATCCAACAATCGCATTACGGGATAATAATATATAAGTTATTCAAATCAATTACTGGTTATGTATGAAATTTTTTAATTTACTGAGGGAAGCACACAGAAATGTCAAGCAGCAACAGGTCTTGCAGAGGAAGAGTAGTGAAAACATTGATGAGTGACTTATGTGAGAAAGGGTATAATTTATATTTGGATTGCTTCTTCAGTTTCCCATGAATTGAGAATATTTGCAATCTGTAAAATCGAATGTATGCGGAAGTGCTAAAAACACAAAAAAAGAATGCCTAAAGACTTTCCAGGGAAAAAAATCTAAAAAAAAGGTGAATTGGAAGTAACACAGCGACACAACATGAACATCATAGCCTTTAAAGAAAAAAAAAGAAAGACGTTTTTATGCTAAAGAGAAACCAGAAATGGCTAAATCTGACAGAAAAGATACATTTTTGGAGAAGACATTTTAAAACCTATATGTGCTACAGATTATAACAAAAACATGGGTGGTGTAGACATAGGAGTCACAGTTATGACACTATTCATGTTTTTGAAAATCAATGGGTACACAAATTGTTTTTTGGGCTGATGGATATAATAATATTGAACTCCAGCATTCTTTTTGATGAAAAACATAGCATTAAAACGCTCTTTCTCAAATTTAAAATGAAGCTGATTGAACAAATTTTTGTCAATTATGGAAATTATCGAGAAGAAAAGCAGTTTGCCGTCAGATCTGTACCAGCATCCATCTGATTACCTGGTAGGCATTTTCCTACCCTCTGTATGAATGAAAGCGTGAAAAAAACCCAAAGAAGGTACATTGTGTGTTCACAAACAGCATTAAAACAAAGAAAAAAGCAACAGTCATATTCTGCTTGTGGATCGTGCAATGTAGAACTTCGCGTTTCTCCGTGCTTCAAGATTTACCACATTCAGTCTTCATTTTAAACTTTGTTACTTTCTGTATATAGTCTTTATTGTATTGTTTTATTAATTTTAAATTTTATTAATGACTTTTGTAAACTAAAACATTGTAATAATTTAAATAGTGCTTCCAAAACTTCTTTTACAAGATAAGCAATTTTTTAAATATATTTTCATGTAAAATAAAGGAAAACGGTTATTAAATGTTAATTTTAACATATATAAGAGCTTAAGTAATAATCTAAAATGCTACCAGAAATTACGATGCTAGCGCACAAATTTTTTTTCTTTTGTGTATGTGTGGATTTTTTTTCTAAAGTCAGGCTTAACCATGTAAAACCTCCGTCCTACATGACGACTGCCTTCCATCCTGCGCAAACGTCTTAAACAAAGGTGTGCCATTGTGAAAGGGTTAAAATTAACTTTCCTTTTCCAACAAAAAAAAAATTCAATTTTATTAGATACTTTAACATTCAGATATGAACACAAAGCTTCCTTGATGCTGACCTTTAAAAATATTTAATCTATTTCACTGACTTAAATATTTAAACAGGGTTGCAAACTAGCATAAATATTCACTTAATGATTTATAGTACATCAATTTAAATACAAATTTATTATTGGGAAAGTGCTGTATATCCAAATAACATTTCCAAAATAATAAACATTTTCACATGTTTGGTATCCAGTAATCAGTATAACAGCTGAATTTAAATAACTGATTGAAATACATTTATTAAAAGATAGCTGATTGTCTAAGTCTAGATTGCTGTGATGTTCAGATACCTTCAAGTAATACTGCTGCGAAGGTGCACAACAACAGAACACTTAATAATTCTTCAATCAGGGATGTTACTTTCAACTATTTACTCAAGTGTAGAAAGAAGAATCTCACAAGGAGTGGCTAAGATTTATTTCATTATCAAACTGTTTTACAATAAAATATCCATGCATATTTCTAAATTTGAAACATGAACATAAAAGAGGAAAAAATTCTAACCTGAAATGATCTATAGCATATTCTTCTAATGTGTGAGGTTTATCAATAGGTTCTGGACCATTCTTGGGACCATGAAACAATAACCTTTTCCCTTGCTCGCTTCCGTCATGAGAAAATAATGCTAATATATTGTTAGGAGGCTTCACTAAAGCAGGAAGCACATACACAAATTCAGAAGGAAAATCCCCTCTTTCACCCGTTCTTTCATTTCGGCCAGCAGCCCAATTATTAGTAGCTACACTTTCTCCGGTATGTCCATCATCGAGTAAAATAAGATCCCCTTGATTGAAACTCAAAAAGGAAGGGCCATCATCTAGAACAAAACAGATGTTTTAGGAAAATTAATAAAATCCAGTACAAGAAATAAAGTCTCATTTGCAAGTTAACAAAATATTAAAAAATTAAACATTAAAATGATTTTAACAATAAACATTTACTCATACTTACAGCCATAAAAGCTATAAATATATTATTACTTTTCAAAACTAATTTATTGCCAATACAACAAACGTAGAACTTTAAAACTTACTTAAAAAAACACAATTTAAAACATTGCTTTAATAAAAAGACTAAAGCCAAAAAAAATTTTCCCAAAATACTAGTGTTAAAAACAAGAAATTTCCTTCTAATTTGCAACTTACATATTTTATTCCCTTTCAAGTTCAGCTAGGGGATAAAAATTTTGCATAGCAAGAAACTTAACTTTTAATGATGAGAAAAGAAATTATGATTAATTACAAGTACAGCTCTGTGTTAGTCTTGCCATGTTTATATAAAACAGTATTCAGAGCATCTAGACACATTATAAAATTAAAACAGTGATACGATGGAAAAAACTATTTATTTCATCTACTAGAGCAGCAAATATATAAGAATGTAAATGATAGCTTGATTTTTACGCGGAAAAAATAGCAGATTTTAGCAATTAGTTTGAAGAAACAATTCTTAAAATACTGGAGTACTGCAGCATTGCAACAAAAATATTAAAAAAATTATAGCTATCATGCAGCATTTATGTTACACCCAAAGGGACTTTTTTTAATGTTTTGTGTGTTACTTTTATATATTAAATATCATGTTCTTCACAACTAAACCACATAAAATTCAATTCAACAGCTATAACAAAATATTTAAAAACAGCATATCTTTAGAATTTTCCACAGACAGTCTCGCACACTGCGGAAAAAAGATGCTTTTTTTCCTCGTACAGTGCTGCCATTGCTTGCTTTGAAATCATTTAGTTAATCCCAAATTTGTTAAAGTTTTACAAAACATGAAAAAGATAATAAAACAAATTCAAAATTCGGGCTTCTAGGTGCCCATGTTTGAGTGAAGGATTATGCTATTCAAAATTTGATGGCTCTAGGTACCATCAATTTTTCACAGTGTGAGAAACACACATACATTCATGCAGATTCCTCATTATTTAATTTTTTTTAAATATATTACAGGGTGATAATATTTGGCAGCAACAATTTAAAAAGTGATACAATGTTTATAGTGAACCGACACAAAATGCCTCTTTGAAACTAATAGCCCTTCTGGGCTATTAGTTATAGTGAACCGACGTGCATATATTACACAGCACAGATATAGATATGCTGAAAGCTATGACATAAAATACCTAAATATTAAAGTGAGATTTTTCTTTTTTGAGATTTTTCACACATATCCTTTCTTAAAGATCAAATTAATAATCACAGAATTTTATTGTAAGTACCATTAGACATATGGCAGAAAAAATTCTTTTAAACAAAGTTTATTCAATAAACAAAGTTTTACCATATTTACTGAGTTTAGAAAACTTTCCAAAATCTTTCAATTTCTTTGATAATTATTTTTCCATCAGCTCTGCATTCTTCGATTGAAAAGAATTCAGATTAAATACCATTTTGATATTTTCAGAGATTATTACATCGTAATTTCACCCCTTTTTCAAACAAAAACAGTAAAAAAATATAAATCAGAAAACTGTCTATGTTTAAGCAGCATTACGGTTATAAAAGGGGGAATTTTTTAATACAGTCAAAAGTCGTTAATCCGGACACGTCGGGACTTCGGCGATTCCGGATTATCGATTTTTCCGGATTATAGATCATCAGTTTAAATCTCGTAAGATGGCATACAGAAATTCTAAAATTAAAAATATGAAACCGTAATTAAGACACAATAACACGCCGAATAAATACTGATTCAGAAGTCAAACAACAAAAATCAGCGTTAATTCACAAAATTTTCACAGGACTAGTTTCGATGGTTTTACCGAACCATCATCTTCAGCTGCAAAACCGCAAATGAACAAGATAGGAAATAATGTTTAGATAAGATAAGAAAGCCTGGACAAGAATAAGCAAGTGGCGCCATCTGTTGGCGAAACCAGAACTAAAACATAATTTCTCTAAAAGCCGAAGGCAAATTTGGATTGGAATTAGGATCGTTAACTAGAACAGAAAGATTTTTATGAATGTGAAATGCCTCTAGAAAATCCAGTTCTCCAATGGAAGATGTTTTTTGAATATTTTGGCAGCAGAAAAATTGAAAAGTGTGATTTTCGGACCAACAATGTTGAGCAACAGAAGACTTCTGTGTGTTTCCTTTTTTCTAACATATGCCTCATGTTCTTTGACGCGAAATTTTAAAGGCTCTCTTAGTTTGGCCAATGTAAATTAAACCGCACTGGCAAGGAATCCTATAAATACCCAGGAATTCATATCCGGAATGGGGTCCTTGATATAGAAGTTGGAATTTTATTGATGGGAGAGTAAACAAGGAAAGTAAAAAAATTTAAATTCTGCAAAATATCTGCAACTTTATAGCTAATTGATGGAAAGAAGAAGGGAATGACAACAGAATTTTTATAATCTCCTAAAATAAGAGTGTGGCTTTTAGTGTGTTGAGATGAGAATTTTTTAACTGCTTGATTAATAATGTTGGGTGAAAAGCCCCTGTCAATAGCTATTGCTTTTAAATAATTTAGTTCTTCATCAAGGGCTAGTTTGGAGGAGCAAACTTGAAGAGCACGGAAAACATAGGAATAAAATGAAGCTAACTTTTGTTTAGTCGGATGACATGATTTAAAGTGTGGTGGAAGGCAAACCGATGAAGGTTTACGGTAAACTGTAGTACTGAAGTTGGATGTGTTACATGTGACCAGAATGTCGAGAAACGGAAGAGAATTGCAAGTCTCAAGTTCAAAAGTGAACTGAATAGCAGGATCAATAGAATTCATTGTTGAAAGAAAAACTCTATTTAAATCATCTTTATTACCTTCAAACAGGGTAAAAGTATCGTCTACGTAGCGGAACCAGAACCATGCCGGGAAGTTTTAAAGTTTCAAACAATTTTGATTCATAATAATGCATGTAGATATCAGCCAGGATGGGACTGAGGGGGCTTCCCATGGCTAATCCCTCAGTTTGCTTGTAATATTTATTTTGGAAAACAAAATGTGTTTGTTTCAAACAAAGTTGAGTGAGAGAAATTAGCTCATCAATTTCGATGCAAGAGAAATGAAATTCGCGAAAGTCTGGTTTCTAGACATCTTAATGCACCCTCCACTGGGACATTGGTGAATAATGATTTTACATCAAAAGAAACCATCAGTAAATTACAAGGAGAAAGAATGTTTTTAACCTTTTTTACAAACTCTATTGAATTTTTTATGGTGTAAATGTTATTGTCTAATAGAGTGGAAAATCTAGAAACTAAATATTTAGCTAATGGATACGAGGCAGTACCTAAATTTGATACAATAGGGCGGAAAGGAATACCACTTTTATGAATTTTGGGAAGAGCATATAATCTGGCACAATTCGCAACAGATGGGATAAGCGAATGTTTGAAGTTGCTTGAAATGATTTGCGAAGATTTGATCGCAGTTTTAATTTTGGATAAGTCCGAAGGTGAAGGATCTTTAGGGATCGGATTATATGGTCCTTCGTTTAAGAGTTTAGTGACACCATCGATGTAAGTGTTCTTATCCATGACGACTATCTGGCCACCTTTGTCGGCCTTTGAAATGACAATATCCGGGTTAGAATGAATCTCGCGCATTGTAGCTCTTTCTCTCGCAGTTAGATTTGGTTTCAAAGGTTTATTATTGAATTTCACATTATGAGCGATAAGATGCCTAATCATTTCTTTCTGTGAATCTGAAACTTTACTGAACTTGAAAGCTTTTTCGATAGGAGCCAAAATCTTTGGAATCGAGGGTTTACGGGTTTGTGAGAAGTTAAAATTATATTTAGAATTCTCTCTTGTTCTTCTGAAAGACTAACATTAGAAATATTAACTATTGGCTTGATGTTTACAATGGGAAGATTTTTTGAAACTACTTGAACTGGAAGACTGTAAAAGAAGTTTTTCGAATTTAACTGCAAGGGTGTTTTTTATGACGGTTAACTGCATTCTCCGTTCTAGACCAAGACTTTTGTTCAAGGGCAGTGAATTTTGGATAAGTTTTAGCGAGTTCCAGATGAAGCTTATAGAGTTCATGTTCAATTTTGGACAAATTGTTGACGTGTATCCCTTATCACGGACCGAAGTAAGGCAAGTTTGCAATTTAACAGAATTTTTGATTGAAACGCGACTCGAAGGTTTTTGATTAGATTTGATTTGAATAAAATTGGGGATCAATTTTTTTTTACATTTACATTTAAGTAAAAAGTCAAGATGATTCAGGAAATTTTTGCCGTTTCAGGCGTAATTTAGTGAAAACGATTAACGGATGAAGGCATGATAAACAATGCAGAAAATCAAACTAAATTAACTGAGCAATAATAAAGTACACACAAAATAGCAGAAAAATCCCTCACTGAAATGAATAGAAAACAAAATGTTTGTAAGCAAAATGCATGAAATCAGACAAGCAAAGCACAATATCCAAATGTACAAAACATAAACATAACTTGAAAATTGCAAAAATGTACTCACCGAAACTCCTACAATCACAAAATGGCGGCCACACCACGTGCAAAAAAGAAAGCAAAATGTAAGCCTGTTGGGGCTTCTATAATTAAGACATAATAACACGCCGAATAAATACTGATTCAGAAGTCAAACAACAAAAAAATCAGCGTTAATTCACAAAATTTTCACAGGACTAGTTTCGATGGTTTTACCGAACCATCATCTTCAGCTGCAAAAACCGCAAATGAACAAGATAGGAAATAATGTTTAGATAAGATAAGAAAGCCTGGACAAGAATAAGCAAGTGGCGCCATCTGTTGGCGAAACCAGAACTAAAACATAATTTCTCTAAAAGCCGAAGGCAAATTTGGATTGGAATTAGGATCGTTAACTAGAACAGAAAGA